GATATTATATACAGTTCACTTTCTGTTTCTAGACACCAGATTTCCAGGATTTTTGTTTTATGCCCTATTCATGGTTTTGTACATGTGGTTATTTATGGATGTGGATTTTAGAAAATATTGTCAAAAATAAAGTTGTCATTCTTGAAGATAACTGAAATCGTGTATCAAAACGTACATATTTACACGGGATGATAGGTTTATTTCTATTTTTCTTGAAAAGGGAAAAAAATTGAAACCAAAATATAATATAAAGAGATACTGATACAACCCGTAAAACAACTTCCAAGTTCGAAAAATGTTCAAACTCTTATAGGTGGGGTCAATATTCAACAGGGTCTATTTTCAACTCGTTGAAGTCATCGGGGATAAGAAAAAAATATCAAGCTGTTGAAAAATGACCCCGGGTATGAATTCAACGACTTTTGGTCTCAATTTTCAACGTTGAAAAAACACCCCTGGTTCAATATTCAACGTTGAAAAATGAACCCCGGGTCAATTTTCAACTGGGGTCAATATTCAACGTTACACCGGTTCTGGCGTTTTCCTGGCACGTAAAATATCAAAATCGTTAAAAAAGCCTGGAAAACGTAAGACATTTCGGACTAACTAATTGTTAGTCCATTATTTATACACTGAATTGACGACGGATTTTTTCGTTGCATGGACCTGATCCAACCTCTGATGTTTTGGAGGTCCGTGTTTGCTCTGCTCCTATTTTTTATTGTTTTATATTATATCTTTCTCAACTTTAGTTAGTGTAATGTGCGTCCCAATTAATCTAACTTGACCAATTTTCAATTGAAAAGGAACATTAATTAATAATCCAGATCGCAGTTCTCAGTTTTTACATTTATCTTTGCACTCCTTCAGAGTTTTGAAATTGTTGTCATTTCGCTGACATCCGCCATAGATGAACTTTTCGCACTGCTTGTTTTTGTTATTGTAGTAGTACCGTTCCATTCTTGCCTTGCAGGGGCCCGTTTTCTTCGGTTGTAAGCATACACTGTCTTCTGATTCTGTTTTCAATACTTCAAAAAAAAAAAATCAAGTTAGTATTTCGATTAATCATATATTTTTTTTAAAATAATAGTGCAGATAACAAGAAACATATAATTCATTCGGAAGTTTTGAATAATACGACGAAAATTTTTCAGATAGAAATATATCCAAGTGATTCAAATTTTGGGAACATTTAAGTGGTGCTCTAATCTACATATGTTATCAGTTGTTAAAAAGGTTATACAAATAAGGATCGTTCGAAATTGTTAAAAATATATTACAGGAAGATAGAATAGGACATAGTGAAAAGTTTGTTACAATAAAATGTCTCAGAGAAAGCTACGTAGAACAGAAGATATTTTTAATTTTTCTCTTTCAAAATGTTAACAATTTTACAGAAAGTGAAAAAGTGAGTTTCTGGTAACTTTCTTTTACATAAAACGTTCTCTGTAAAATTGTAAAACTTCTAGCCATCTTTGTAAAATATGTTGTAAAAATAAGATTCTATGGTGAAAGTAAAAATCGTATATGGAGATAAGGAACAATATTCAAGCACAAACGTCTTATCAAACAATACAGAATAGGAGCAGCGCAAACACGAACCTCAGAAACATCAGAGGTTGGATCATGTGCCATCCTTTACCGACCAGCTACACCCGTTGTGTACTCCTTGTCACGATTATAAATCGGTATCTTAATATAATATATACCTGGTGTTTCCTTTACGCCTCTAGAGCTCAAAAGATACCGTGCATCTCGCTTTGTGTCTATTGCATCTGAAAAACATTTTTATCTTCTGTATATAAGGTTGACAAAATATTATTTCTTGAATTGATACAGTACATACCGGTATAACCTTTAAATTTTACCCATAGAAATTTGAATTTTTTGAGACATATTTAATATTATATAAAATAGGTCAATACCATATAATAATAAAAATAAGAAATACAAATTCCGAGGAATAAATTACACATTGAAAGAAAAATTAGATCTTTTAGGACCGTAGGTAGATTGGACTTTTATCCTTTAGATTGATTGATTGTATCTTGTTGAACGCCCCTCCTGAGAATTTTTCACTCATATGGAGACGCCACCACTTGCCGGTGGAGAGCTGCAAAGTCCAATACTCTGCATTGAGTGGGGAGGATCTTTTTGCGGCATTACCTACTGCGACACGGCACCTCGGTTTATAAATACGGTCTCATCCGAAGTACCGGTCTTCACGTCCCACGGTGGGATTCGATCCAGAGAAGTAATGATCAACTCCTTACTTCGCGACTCTAGAGCAGACGCTCTAACCACTTCGCCAAGCGGGCGACTTTATCCTTCAGAAAGTTCCTTAATTATACATGTATTATCTTTTTACCACTTACTTGGAACACAGTGTGAATCCGTCCCTATCCACGCACCGCAAACCTTCGGATTGGGAACGGGCAAACACTGGAGAACGTCACTTCCGTTCAGCGTATATCCCTTGTCACATTTTATAGTCACATTTTGGTACAGATTGAAATTAGTCCCAACAATGTATCCATGCGCAGGTGGAACTGGGACGCCACAACATGCTTAAGGTTTGAATATCATTATTATATTTCATTCCTGTTTGTATTTTTAAAACAAGTCTTTTTTTTCTAAACAAGAAGTCAGAAAACTTTAAATATTTATATAGAAAATAAAAAACAAAAACAAAACATTTTTTAAAATTACTTTTTTCGCATTTGGATATTCCTTGCAAATGATCCCATATTGCCACCTGGTGAAAGGGGTCCGGAACAGCCAGACAGGTTATTTCCCCTGATCCGACTAAGTGATATCCGGGGTCACATTGTAAGTGCCGTGTTTGCCCCATTTCGTGGCCCGTGCCCGTGTAGTGACCACAGTGGACAGCTGGAAGATCGCCACATTTTATGTCTGTAGAAGCCAATTTATAATTAAATCATTCCCGGAGCAAGCTTTAAAAATATCATGGAGATACATGTGACGAAAAGTACTAGTATTCAAGCTCATACATGTAAGTCCATTCAAACGATACAAATCAAGAGCAGAGCAAACACGGACCTCTACAACACCAGAGGTGGGATCAGTCGTGTCATGGAGGAGGAGCATTCTTAATTGAGAAATTTAATTCATACAGAGAACATTTATTGATTTATGTTGTGTAATGTACTATTCGAGATTTTTTTACGCAAACAGGGACGACTCTAAATGTCTTAAAGAACTTCAAATTCAGGCATTTAATTTACTCCGCACTCGTGGTTATTTCAAGCAATAAGGGATCTTTCTCGTGTCTACGCCTACTGCGACATGCATAAAGTCTCGATATCTTTGGATTTAGTGCAAAGACCCGCAGCACTGTTTTGATTTTGAACTTTGCTTTTAGTCTGTTGGATAATTTACTTGACGTTAAAGGTAACCTTACAACAAAAAATGATGATAAACGTGATAACATAAACTTTTCATTTGTTAACGTCTTCTACGTAGGTAGCATTTTACCTTATTACCTGCATACGGGGTTTATGTCTCTAAGTTGATTCAATACACAAGAGCATGCTCTACGTACGAACACAGCGGGTCTGACCAGTATACATGGGATGCTCACTCCTCCGTGGCACCTGATCACACCTCTGATGTTTTGAGGTCCGTGTTTGCTCTGCTTCTGAATTGTATTGTTTGATGGACTTTTGATCAGTTGGAATATACTGTTCGTCTTCTCTACAGCTCAGTTTTCAGAGACAGGAATGGAACACATGCAGATAACGAACAGTATTCACGATCAAAAGTCCATAAAACAATACAAAATAGGAGCAGAGCAAACACGGACCTATATAAGAACATCAGAGGTGGGATCAGGTGCCATGGAGGAATGAGCATCCCCTGCCGACTGGTTACACCCGTCGTGTGCTCCATGTCATGAGCGGGAAATAACGGAAAAATCTGTCGTCCATTCAGTATATAAACAATGGACTAACAATTAGTATGAATACATCAGTCAGCATTTGACTCAATGATAAATTGTATTTGCTGACAAGATAATTGTATCGACCATAGATCTTACGAAATAATGACTTTAAATGAAACTGCTGCCATTCTTGTTTCATCAACTTGTTTGTCAATAATTTCCTCAATTTAGAAAGTATTCATACCTAGAGCATGCTTTTGCGTATCGAATCAACTGAGATATATTAACTCCATATACAGTTGATGAAGGTATATTGCTGCATAAGCAAAGGAAGTTCACGATAGAAAATTCAAACTCATAACGTTTATCATAGAGCTTGGTTTTTATATGACCATTAACGTCTTTTTCAAGTAAAATATCCAAATAAGAAACAGATGTGTCAGAGTCTGTGCCAGTCTGTGGTCTCTTTTGCCTAAATGTCGAGTTGAAGGCCACAGTAAGTGTTTTCTTGTTTTCATGGATAAGATTTTGCACAAATTCTGCTTCAGTATAAGATTTATTAAGACTGAGAGGTGGATACAGTTTTTAAAATCCATGCAATTTTAAGTAATACAGGTTCAGAATGTACTTTCTGGAAATAAACAGACACTGAAACATTTATGACAAAAAATGTCTAATTTGCCGCATTTTTTTCAATTAAGATAAAATGTAGATCTATACTGATTTTAAAACTTCATAATATCCTTCTTCTGAATTGTTGTTGAATTGAAAATTGAATTGTTATGTGTTTAGGACTGGAATAATTGCCCCGTCTAATGATCCTATCCTCATAGGAATTGCATTGCAAGTAACTTCACATCAAGAGTAACATGTAATGCTTATTCCGTATACATTGTATATGAATCATTTGAACTACATATATTGTTTATGGAAAAAGTATTAAAAAAACTTTTTTATTTAAAAGACATATTCACAGTTTTCCCCCATAATTGCACACAATTAGACCACATGCTGAAGACGCTTTATTTCTGACAGAATGTTACGTCTGTTGTACATACTTCAAAACAAAACCCAAATAAAAAATGCTTGAGAAAAAAAATTAGGTGTCAATATTTATTTTATAAGTTACATAACAAAGTCTTCAACAACATAAACTATGAAACAATAAAATAAGTCCACACAGTGGAAGTCATTTACTGACTATTCGCTGTGTGTTGTCGTCCGCTAAAAAGGTGCAAGAAGACAACAGGAAATGCCAGGAAAGAGGTCGTGCGCTTGCGTGAATGTCGAACAACTTCTACATTTGCGGAATGAAAAAGTCCATACAATATACGAAAAATTACTTCCAAATTGACATAAATTACCTCCTTGATACTAGTATTTGTAATTTTGTAGAAAGTTCTAGTTCAAATAACAATTTAAAAATAATGCATTGCTAGGATTGCCTCAGTCTTATACACTTTTTGTGATAAGATAAATAGGTATGTATTTTTTAAAATAGAAAACAAAAAGTTCAAAATTAAGCTTTTTTTATGTTAAGGAATTAAAGGGAAATATCACATTTTATCAGAATGTTTGTTGAAATGTTTCTCCCTCGACAAATGAAAATCCTCACCCCATTTAAGGGATTTTTTTCTTCAAAAGTTCAAAATGCTGCAATTTTCAAATGAAAAGATACAGTGAGAGAGAACATTTTTAATAATCCAGATCGCAGTTTTCAGTTTTTACATTTATCTTCGCACTCCTCCAAAGTTTTGAAATTGTTGTCATTTCGCTGACATCCGCCATAGATGAACTTTTCGCACTGCTTGTTTTTGTTATTGTAGTAATATCGTTCCATTCTTGCCTTGCAGGGACCCGTTTTCTTCGGTTGTAAGCAGACACTGTCTTCTGATTCTGTTTCCAACGCTAGACAACAAAAAAGCCATCATGTCAATCATTCATACTATTATTCGGCTAGAAAATTTAAAATATGCAAAAAAGACAAATAATCTAATTCATCAAATAGAGAGAGGCAGAATAATTCTGTTCTTTATTTTTAAATGGCAGAGGAGACATCTCATATACAAATATAGCCAAGTGAATTGCAGAAAAAATATTTCATTCTTAATTGTCTTTCCTCTTAAATTCGCCTTTTCTTTTTAATAATTAAAGAAAATCTTTAAAATTAAAATGAAAAATAGGATGAAGCATGGGATACCGGTATTACTACTCTTTCGAATTCAGAAATGTAATCGTGTTCAGTAATGTTCTAACAGTGTTATTTAGAAAACTTGACATGGTGTCTAGAAACTGCATTGTTTTATGTTTTTATGTTTTATTATCACAAGGTTTAACATAAAATTAAAAATATGAAGTTCACAATCATATAAAAAGAATTTTTTTTATATAAAATTCATACTTGAAAACATAATCAGGATATCACTTGTCTTTAAAATATCCATTCAACGCTAGAGTTATCTTTTTTATTTTAAGTCATAAATGACGTATTTTGATAAGTTCAGACTGCCTAATATTGAAAAGATCTTTGTGTTTGTTTTGTTACTTTATATAAAGAAAGGACTTTCCTGAAAAATACACAATTCAAATCAATCGCGTTTCAAAGATATCAGAGATTTAAACAATTACTGATTTATTTCCGACTCGGCATTTAAATATCAGACACAGTTTAAAATCAATTTAACTACAGAAACGTGGGGATATTTAAGTTTAAACTCGGTGAAAAGTTTAATTTGAGAGTTAATATTTAAAAAATATCATGTAAATCTATACATAATCTTATATTTTTATTTTTAGCTCAGATACGCCATATGAACTAGGTTTAAAAAAAAATAAAATAAACGCTATATAAGATGGATTGCTTTAGTTTATTAAAATTGTCTATAAAGAGGTAAAAATGCTGCAATTTGTAAGAGTTACAAGGAAAATGTGCAATAAATTAGGTCAAATGTTATTATTAACTTAAAAAAAAAACATTCAAACGTTGCAAATTTTTACATGCTATTTGCAAATGTTCTGTACAAATAAAAAATGTGTTTTCTCTTCTCCAGGCAAAACTACTAGTAACCCACAAAGAACTCTCTGAGGGACCCAAAATTTTAAAACCACTCATGTGGCGCAGCTAACATATTCATGTAATCTTCCTAGCTATGTGAGTGACCTACACTGCATGTCTAGTAATTAATCTATACACAACCGATATCGTTTGTCTATAAAGTTGGAGAATTCTTGAATTCTCTGTGATTTTTCTTTTTCGGGCTGAAATATTGCCGACTCGGTGTAAAACAACAAAAATTAATCAATCTTTTCCCTTGTTTATATATAATTCTTATGAAGAAAAGTGTTGATTACAGTGATATATGAGGACAAAAAACAGTTATCCTGCTCAAAAGTCCACTGAAACAATATACAAATCGGGAGCAGAGCAAACCCGAGCTCTAAAAACATCAGAGGTGGGATCAGGTGCCATGAAGGAGTGAGCATCTCGATCATATCCTCCGTATGCTCCTTAACTACAGAGTCTGACACATCTGTTTCATATTTGTATATTTTACTAGAAAAAGACGCTAACAATAAAATTGTAATAAACTTGATTACTTTAACTTTGCTATCGTCAACTTCCCTTACTTATACCTTATCATCCACGTATGGGGTTTCTGTCTTGATTCGTGCTTTAGATACGAACAATTTCTAAAACAATGCAAACTACTGACAAACAATTAGATGAGACAAAAATATGAACAGACTCATTTAAACTCGTGATTTCGTTATTCCTTTTTTCGATATAATATCTTTTCTGCTGAAACAATATATCGGTACGTTGAATGCCGATTGACGCTTTTCATATGACTAGTATTCGTTAGAACATTGTTTTATGTTCACTGAATTACACTGATTTTTCCGAGTGTGACCAGAAGCACACGGTGGATGTGACCAGTCGATAGGGGATGCTCAGTCCTCCACGGCTCCTGATCCCACCTCTGATGTTTCGGAGGTCCGTGTTTGCTCTGTTTTTGGTTTGTATTATTTCAAGATTTTTGAGCTTGGTTAATGTACGTTATCTCCATATTTCTCTTTCTTAATCTTGACAAAAGGGACCTCCATATCATAATTTAAAATAAAATGAAGGATATGGAGACAACGAACAGAATTCAATATCAAAGTCCATAAAACAATACAAAATAGGAGCAGAGCAAACACGGACCTCCAAAACATCAGCAGTGGGATCAGATGCCAGGGAGGAGTGAGCATCTCCTGCCGACCGGTCACACCCACCGTGTGCTCGTAATTTATTATATAATTAGATGAATGTTCATCGCCATGTTATAAGATTTAATTCTATCAAAACAATCTATAACGGCTAAAGGTCTTTGAAATGTCCGTCTTTTTTAAGTATCTGTAATGTTTTAGATGACATAGATCGTAGATAAATATATACCTGGTGTTTCCTTGACGCCTCCAGAGCTCACCAGATACTGGGGATCTCCTCTTGTGTCAATTGGATCTGAAAAAAATGGAATCTCTGTATAGTTACAAGTTTGTCAAAAGGTTACTACCTTACACTTTCACTTTTCAAGATCAAAGATACTCAAAGACTTAATACAGGATTATGTACTAGTTAAATTGATGTCTTGATGGACCATAGAAAATACAAATCTATGATGCAGAAAAGATGTTATACATTTTGGAAGACAGAGCTTTTCGGACTTATATAAATGATTTTACTCGTTCTCACATCCTTTTTTGTTTTCCTATCTTGCTTTACGTACTAGGAACGCAATATGAGTCCGTCCATTGAGTAACATATACCCACATGCCGCAAGCTTTCGGATATGGTATGGGTAGGCACTGGAGGACGTCACTTCCCTTTAGAGTGTAACCCTTGTCGCATTTAACTGTCACATTTTGGTACAGATTGAAATTGGTCCCAACGATGTAACCATGCGCAGGTGGGGTTGGGACGCCACAACATGCTTGAAGTTTCATTATCATATTTCATTCACAATTTATGATAATTAGTTATCAACCTATCAAAAGACGTAATTAAGGAAAAAGAAAATGATTATTACTTTTTTCGCATTTTGACATTCCTTGCATATGATCCCATATTGCCACGTGGTGAAAGGGGTCCGGAACACCCAGACAGGTTACTTCCCCTGATCCCACTAAGTGACATCCGGGGTCACATTGTAAGTGCCATGTTTGTCCCATCTCGTGGCCCGTGCCCGTGTAGTGACCACAGTGGACAGTGGGGAGATCGCCACATTTTATGTCTGAATAAGCCAATTTTAGAATTAAACAAACTTTAGAAAAGAAGTAACGCGTTACAGTAAAACTCATTTAGTACTAACACGGATATTGTGAATTCATGTATAAAGCGAAGTAATCTTGTAACCCCACCTATATAAATTTAACGAATTCCTTAAACGGATTTAACGAATCACTGATATAAAGAAGTAATTTCATAGGTCCCAGTGACTTTGTTATAACCGAGTTGTACTGTGTTAGCGGTTTTCAATTAATTTCCTGACAAAATAAAACTCCAACAAGCTCGGGTGGATTTATGTTGTTTCAGACGATATAACAGTTGAAGATAGAGATAAAATTGATTTATTAACATATTGATATTAAACTAATAAGTTCATGGTAAATTGATAAAGAAACCACAGAAGGTAAACACAATTTTAAACTAGAGGACCTCACGATTAAAACGTTTATAGCCTTTTAAAAATCAAGGGGGTATACTGTACTTTGTCATTTCTTTTTCATCTTATCAATATCAAGGGGTTAGTGATGTCAAATGCAAGTTTTGTTGTTGTTGGTTTTCTTCTCTCTTTTTTAGCATACAAATATTCAGTAGTAATAACTTCTTTATTTTCAGAACTCAGTGATGCAAAAAATAAATAAATAAAACTGCACAAAACAGGAAGACATTGGGGGAAAAACACGACAGTTAAATAGCTTACTATACATAAAATAATTTGGAAAATATTTCGTTTTTTCATAGTCAAAAAGACGACACTGAAAATTACAGGACATCAAGTGATAAAGTACATATTTTGTGAGCTTTAGAATTTAATAGTTGGAATATCAGATCATAATTGGGATCAATTTACATAATTTGAACATAAATATGATTCTGAAATGAGGAATACCCAGATACCCTCGAATTTTATGTACATTCCTAAGATAACAGGTGCGAGACGGAGCCGGGGATCTCTACAACCTCTGTTTTGTTTTGACAAATATTAACTTAACAAAGATATTTTTTCAGATAACATGGTCCATTCTTTAATAAGATGTGTTGCATGTTTCACATTGTAAAATTTTATAATAGCGAGCGCAGCGAGCGTCGCGAAGCGACGCTCGCGAAGCGAGCTCAATAGACTAACGTGTAAGAACAGAGGAAATTCGGATTGAAATCTGTACATACGTCAGCCAAATTTCTCTGTGCAACATTCCCAGAATTCCTGCACTACCCAATGTCCTTTGCGCGAATATTGCCGAGTAAATAAATAAATAATAACGTAAAGCATATATCAGACTTTCAGTTTGTAGAAATCTTTCAAGGAAACAAGAAATCTGCAATGTTTTTCGACAAAAATTGCACTAGTTCTATAGTTTCAAACAGACGCTCGGCTGTCTCCGTAAGCTCCGACGAGCTTTGTGACGTCGTATGACGTCACAGCTAGTCGAGATATCTCGTGCGGCTTGACGTTCGAAGTGGCTGATGGTACAACTGCGCTCGCCCCAACGGTCACACCGTAAAACATATTAATTAAGAAATGAATGTAATAATTTTTTCTTTGATCGATGTATCAAAGAAAAATTTGGACGGAAAACTTCATCAATGCGCGTAGCGCATTGATGAAAAAGTTTTCCGTTTAAATTTTTCTTTGATACATCGATCAAAGAAAAAATTATTACATTCATTTCTTATCATTTAATTAAGATTTTAAATTAATAAAATGAAAGTTTCTTTCACTTTTCTATTAAATTTATGCATCAAAAACAGTGCGCACGAATACATCACCATAACGTTAACGTTGCTGAAAATTCAAAACTATAATAACCATGCTAACGAAAAACGTTCTCAGATATTGTCGTGTGATTACCAACAGTCTCCAAAATAATTTACAGTTCTTTAACACAAAAAACTTACCTGTTGTGTTATCCCTTTGTGTATATTTTCCCCGGTAAGTTATCTAAGTTCGTAAATGTAAGGGTGAAGCTACTCAAATATCCTAATAGTTCTAGGTCACAGAAATTTTGGATTTCATTTGCGCATCTTTTCATTTGAATTTCAAACCGAATATATAATTATATACATATCACAACCTATCAATGCTGTAAAACCTGAAAGAGTCTGCTGCCGATAGTTCAAGATTAAAGAATTCCATCCTCAATTCATGCAGTGTCGTTTTTCTCGATCACTCGTTTCCCACGATTTAACAGATTTTCGGTTTTCCCCGCTTTGGTAGCATAATAAAACTTTTTTTCAGAGTTCTATTGTTTCATACCAGATATCTCAAAGTCAAACATTTAAGAAAAGTATGCCGATTAAACGATTTCTTCCCTTCTTTCCCGTAACTGTATTGTCGTCATGCAGACGAATTTAATTTGTTTAGCAAAGCTAGGGGGATAATTCAAAATGAAACGAAAGTAGAAAATAAGCCAGGAACCTAACGGACAGGTTCCGAAATTCAGGAAAATATTTATTGAAGCAAAGGTATTTGATTATTCCTTCAAAAAGTAACCTGGAAGCGGGGAATATATATGTACCGACTGTCAAAGTAGTTCCGGCTGCTTAGTGCAACCGAACTCTAGATTTTATTGATGCGGTTATCAAAAGAATTTTTTATCCAATCAGAATCAAGTATTTTATAGAAATTAAATGATATATTAATTACTATGAAACAGAATTTTGTCCTTCTGTTTAAATAACTGACTAAAATATGTAGATTACTAAAAACTAAAATACCATCTTTAAAAACAAATTGTCTGTTTGCCCTCTCCCAACTGACTGAACGTCTCTTAAATTAACTTCCAGAAAATGATTCTTTTTTTTATTCATTCTGAATTGTTCTGACCTAGTCAACTTTAATTTCAATAAATTTAGAAAATACAGCAATTTATATTTATGAAATCCCATATAATACCTATCAAAATGTACTTTTGATTTCCATATGATGAATTTTCGAATTTGTTAAAACTAATTTTATTTGTTCTAACGAATTCCAGAAATTCAATTTAACGAATTCAATTCGTTATGACTTAAGAAACAATTTTCAAATGAAATATATGAAGATAACGAACAGTATTCAGGCTCAAAAGTCCATAAAACAATACATAATAGGAGCAGAGCTAACACGGACCTCAGAAACATCAGAGGTGGGATCAGGTACCATGGAGGAGTAAGCATCCCCTGCTGACCGTTAAAACCGCTTGTCATGACCGGTAAATAATGAAAAATCCGTCGCCAATTCAGTGTGCAAATAATGGACTAACAATTAGTATGAAAAACGTCAGTCAGCATTTATACTCAATGATAAATTGTATTTGCTGACAAAGTTATTGTGTCGACTATAGAACTTAAGAAATGATGACTTAAAATTTAATCGAGACTGTAGCTGCAGAACTATAGCATTATGGTTTCATATATTAGTCTTTGACCACACAAAGACTAATAAAACCATAACGCTACAGTTCTGCAGCTATGGTCAAAGACTATAATAAAGCTACAGTTCTGCAGCTATCGAGACTTTTGATATTCTTGATTACTCAACTTGTCAATAATTTACCTCGTTTTAGAAATTACACATACGTAGAACATGCTCTTGCGTATTGAATTTGTTTTGACAAATTCAGAAAATCTGTTTTAACAAATTCAGTACAACGAATTTAAAAAGTTGAAGTAAATTCGTTTTCAAAACTGACAATGGGTTATAAAATTTACAAAAATAATTTTGATCGGTCCTTTAGTGGGTTTCTGCTGATCTTAAAAATTTCTGAAAAATAATTACCCACCTCCCGACGTCAACGTTTTATTTTTTATCCCGAGTAGGGGGAACAAACAAAAATTGTTCCAGGGATTGTCTAATTTTTAAAAAGTACATTGTATTTGCCAATATCACAGATTTTAGTTTTGGAAGTTTGTTTGCCTCGTGGTTCCCTTAAAAGAGCTGAATTCATATAGATAAATTACATGTCTTCAGTGTTAACCTTCCATAACCTTATATTGCCTTAAAGTATTAACCATGTATTTAAATTACCACGATTCTCACAGTAATACAGACATGCATATATAAATAAAAATTTTAAATGGCATAATAGTTTCCTCGTAAACAATTTCAATCTGACAAGATCTCGGGTAATCACACTTGGGGGATGTTACAGGTTGAGAAACTTGTTAATTCGATACGAGATCAGTGTAAATCTCGGCAATGATTGCGGATCCACGGTACCGCGATGCCAGACTTTGGGTGAGACGAGCTATTTTATCGTGACAGTTGGGTACCTGGTACCGCGGCCGAGGCACTTTGGGACAGAGGATCATTTCGCTGAACAAACAGAATATTAGCTTTCAGGTTCAATATGTTTATTTATCTACAAGAAACAATGACTGAGACTGTGATCACTTGTTACAATGCAGCGTGCAAGAGGCACGATCGACTAGTGCAAACACTCGGCGGTAAGGACGCCGGAACCCGATCTACTCCCCGTCATTACTCTCTGTCAGAGATTCCAATTAGGCATTCTTATTCTTTAACTGTGAACAGGGTCACTTGAACTTTGAATGTATTTTTTTCAGCAAGATTTAAACGAAATGGGGGAAGGCTAACAAACACAAAAATGATATTTATTGACGTGAGCATAAACACCTTCAGATACTCATAGAAAAATCTTGGATTAAAAATCTTATAAGGTAGCATTCCTCAAATCTGCAGTCAGCACAATTCAGATTCTTTCCGATGCATTTCTACCCAACAAATCTCGTTCCATGAAAGGGACTACCTGGGGTTTTCTTTAGAAACTGGGGACATCGGAGATAGCGTGTTCGGTCCGCTTGTCCAAATTTAGCACATAAATCGCATTAATCCATTATCCCGACAACGTCTCTCTAATACAAGTCCTGCATGTTACTTTGTCGTAAAGCAAATTATGTGTTTAAAGAATTTCTTGAAGTGTGAGAAGTTTAAATAATTGATGAAAGGGAATACCACCCATATGTCAAAGGAATCAATCATATTTACCATCCTATTAAGATTTGAAAATAGCCATATCATTGGGAGTTTATTATCGTTTTAGTGGTATATTAAAAAGTAGTTTTATGTTTATTAGTTCAGTCGAAAAACGAATTTCAATAAATTTCTTATGTTTTCTTCACAGTAAATTTGGCGTTTTTAGCAATAGTGAATCTATTGATCGAAAACAATAGATTTCAAAAATAAAATTATGTGCGAAAATCATTTTCTACTTATCTTAACGCGTCTTCAATGGATTAAATTTGGCGAAAGTCATAGATCCTATAAATTGTTTTGAAAACAAAACGTTCTATAATTTTGGCCCGAAGTTTTGGGACAGTATCCTAAATATGTCAAGAATTTTTTTGTCCACCTATCTCAATTTAATCGTGCTTCTGGTAGAATGGCAGAAGCTGGCGTGGGAAAGAGACATCTGGGGTGATAAGCTTATTAGGAACTAAATGCGACATTTTTTCCCAATCTGGTCAAAAACAAAAATATTTATCCGGGAGCCCCTTCAACTCCATTCCTCTCGTTATACCTTCAAATGCACGACCAAAAAAAGGAATCATTCTAAAAACAATTACAAATATCTTTAAATTCGAGTAGGGATGTTTTGAGGTTAATTGATTAAGAACCTGTGGATTTATCGAAGGTAATGTTATTTTCTGTGAAGAGCGAAGTCCGCAGTGGTTACTGAGGACAATGGATCGGCAATTCGATACCCGTCCTGTCGCAAATAGAGACACCGAGCTCCAGGCACCACATCACATCGTCAGTGCCCGAAACCCCGGCATGACCCAGCACTTCTCAGGTCTGCAGCTTCAATACATCCGAGTTTTAGCCATCCAAAAACTCACCTCCTTACAACTTATTTATTTTGACATTTAATGAGAAAGAATTAGCAACAGAATACTGGTGGAAAAATAGGAGATGTCTCAAATGGTCGCTTGTGAATTGACAAAACTCCAGTTAATTAACGTGCTTTCTATTTTCCCCCTTTGTCTACTTTTACATGTATTGAATGATAGATCGAAGTCCTTAAGAGAAATGACTAAGCAGTATTTTCGAAGTGTAGTAAATGCATAACAAGAAATGAAATGTACAATTAAAGCATGTAAAAATTTCATATCTATAACCTGTGGACGATTTGAGATACCATTGACCCAGTGTGTCGAGTTGCTATCAGTAGCTCAGAAGATTAACCGTGCAGTACGAATGTCTCCGACTTACACCGCAATATATTCTGATAATAATTAGTGCATTCATACCTCTAGAAAGTTTACATTTAGTGAAAACGTGACGTATGTTTACTAATATTTTGATTTTCCCCTTAAATACTGATGATAATCTCTTCAGTGTTGTCAGTTCCTTCAAGAATTTTAAGTTACAATTTAGTTGGTCAAGATGATATTATTTTTACCAGTTACACTTATCATGGAAAACTTGCATAATGATTTCCATACCAGGCTACACGCGTGATTTGATAATTTATTGGTACATCTTTAAATGACATTTATTTAAATTACGAATTTTTAACATTCAGATAATTTTAAGCTTTGATTTTATAATTTTACACAAAAGTTTTAGCTTAATTACTTTATTTAATCTATTAGTTAAAAAAACTAACAATCGTTATTTTTTTTATTAAAATAAATAAAAAATGCTTTCCCGCAATTCTTTGAATGAGTTTGTATAAAGTTAATGATTTCTTTTGTTAATGAAAACAAAAATTGACCCCCTCCCCTTTTATTAAGTGCAACAGCTAGCGTTATACTTTATATAATTACCAAATTCATCCTCCTCTTCATCCGCATGTCTTATTCTGGTTTCACTAGATTCTCTCACGGGCTCCTTCAGTGTTAAAATGTCTTGTTTGAGAGGTTGAGATAATTTCTTTGTTTCAAAAGCGAGGGTCCTTGAAATTAAACATAAAATAAACACAAGTAGAAATCTGGTTAACTCCATTTTGCCTTTAAAGTTCGAAATGTGATAAGAGAATCTCCCCTCTATCTCTCTTTCAAGTCACATGATCAATTGCTTTAAATAGGATAGGCTTTCCTCGGTAGATGGCGCATTCATAATAGGGGGTTGGGAATTCTTTCACTTCCGGTATTGCGTGTCACCGGTTTACACACAGAAAACATGTAAGTGGAGTTATTTTGTGTATTTTGTGTTGTGTTTGTGTATTATTAGAAAGATAATTATCAGAGTCAATCATAATTTCTTGCTTGTATTTGCAGGTCAAAGGTTACGTTCAAGATAATTTTGACTTCGGATCCAAAATTACCATACAAAGTGTAAGTGGATCATTTAACAGCTGTTCATTACAGTTTTAAAATTATTGTTGCATAAAACATATAAGAGCTCTCTATAAACTGTTTAGTCAAAAGAAAACTAAAAAAAGAGTTAAGGAAATATGACATATAGCTGATTTTTTACACTGCTATATTCTTATTTTGTCCTATTCCTTTTTGGAGATGACATTTTCTAAGAACATGATATATATTTTTTGGGGCAGCACATACATTTAGATTTTGGAGTACACAACATCCATCTTCACTAGCCAAGGGTTTCTGATATGTTAATCTGAGTAGTCTCCTCTTAATGGGGGAGGAAAGTAGCGTATAGAAACCCTTGGCTACAAAGATGACGCAAACATCTGGATCAGACAAGTTTCAATGTACATGTAACTAAAATCTCATTAGATGTCTAATGTTTCAGTACAAAGGAAAATAATATTAAACATGTTTTAAAAATAAAATAATTTCTAAGATCTTTATTTAAAAAAAATTATCCTGCTCATCATTCTGATATAATTTAGTAATAGTATGATTTGACAATCCATGTCAAAATGTTCTGACATTATGGTTCAATATCTTGCTTATAACTTTACGTCTTAGACTCTTAGGGGAACCATAAATTTGTTATTTCCCAAGTACCCTTTCCATAACTTATCATATTTAGGTGATTTATTTAACCAGATTTTCAGAAGAAAACAACAAACAAATATAGAGACTTTATAAACACAAATTCCTGTGGTTCAGAAGATAACTAATGCATTATAACTGAGGACAATAAAATTGTTTTTAGAAAAATTCACTGATATTTTAAAGACTTATTGTTGTCAACATTTTGCTAGAATTCGATCCAGTATGAATTTGACATGGCATGTCGAAATATTTTGATGTCATTATGAAGTCTACGAGACCCGAGATTTCCTGAATGCTCTGCTTACTGTTCATTTTGATTGGTTAAAAATATTGATAAATATTCATGAGGGAATAGTCCCAGGGAGTAGCTTTGATTTTTCAGGGAGTGGGCCGCAGATGGGGGAAATACTAGTACATGTACATGTACATGTAGTCTCTTCTCAGGGAAATAGACACCTATGGGAACCAGAAATTTGCCAATTCCCTCATATCCTAACCCATTCCATAACTGTTACAGTATATTATTATACCTCTGCTGTAATTACTCTATATAAAATTAATACCATAAAACTGTCTATTTCCCCGAGAAGAGACTACTGCCCTCAACTAAAGACTACTCCCTGGAAAATCAGAGCTACTCCCTGGGACTACTCCCTCATGAATATTTATTAGTAATTTTAACCAGTCAAAGTGTTCAGTAGGCGGAGCGTTCAAGGAATCTCGAGTCTGTGACGTCATGTTATTAGCAATGTAAATATGACGTCAAAACATTTCGACATGCGATGTCAAAATCATACTTGAATTCTAGCAAATGAAGACAACGAAAATTCTTCGAAATGTCAGTGAAAATACTTTTTAAAAATAATTTAATTGTTTTAGGACATTACTTATCACACAATGTGTTAAACCGCATGCATTTGTAATTATGCCTCTACAGTGTTTGTTTTTTAAATGTCGGAATATCTAATAAAAAAAAAATAAATCGCCTATGATTGTTTCGGTATAATAAAACAGTTATGGAATGGGAACTCGGGAAATAACAAATTTATGGTTCCCCTCAGCAGGAAACTATTTCCCTCGGCGGCTTCCCCAGCATCCTTGACCTTAATCCTTTAAGTTGTCCTGAATCCATTCATTTTTGTTATTTTTCACCCTACCTTTGTAGAATCTGTTATGTACATCATTCTTCAGAGAATAATTTATGTTCAATCAAGATAAATAATAATCAATTTATAGATTAGATAAAATTGAACACTTAAAAGAAGCAGATTTACAAGTGCAAATTAAAGGATTCTTAATTTCAGATTTACACTGAGATGAAAGAATAAAAGTTGCTTTATATCTCAAATCAAAAAAAAAAACCTTGTTAATTTATATTTAAAAAAACCCTTCAATCCTATAAAAACAAATCTGTGTTTTTTATATAGGTATACCATAATTTTTTAATCCTTAAAACAGGGTTGCATGTCTCTAAGAATTGAAATAGTAGGGGGCATTTGGAAAGTAGAAGGGGGTCTGGGGTTATCCTATTTAAATAATGGGGAGGTTAGAAGGTTCAAAAGTTAAGTATCTGCATCTTATCTACTCCTGAGTTTCCCCTTATTTTAGTGAGGAGAAAAGAAAGGAGGAACATTAACTTGAACCCGCTATGCATCTTTGTTTTATAATTTATTTTAAAAACATTCATTAAACATTTACAATGGTTAGTATGAAAGCTAAGATTTTTTTTCAATGGAATCTTGAAGAGAAATTGCATGTTTTTTTGGGTAATATAGTGAATTTTATAAAAACTATTGTACATGTTACGATGCCGGAACTTGGAAACAAATTCTTCATTCTAACCACAGTCACGTACGCTTATTTCAAACAAATTAATTTCTGGAAATTTTTCATTGTTATTAAGTACCCATGTAAAAGAATGAACCCCAAGTCCAGTTTTAAAATGAAATATTTTCCAAATGATTTTTTAACTTTTAAAAGGAGTTCATTAGTGAGTTAATGTTATCTATTAGTGAGTTAATGTTAAATTCCAATTAAAATGTTGAGGGATAGTTTTGACACTTCTACAATTTCCATGTCCTCCTCTTAAAAACGGGACAATAAAACTGGTACCAGAGATCTGATAGCTCCAAGACTATTACGCATTTAAGTGGGTTTTCACTATTTCTATTGAAGTCACCACATTCAATACAAGTGTAATTAACTCTTCGGTCACCCTATTTAACACGCCCCTCTTTTGGAATAAATATACAGATCTTAGACAATGCATTCTGTAAACAAAGCCCAAGTGCTACACCCTTTCTGAAATTGGATGGTTTAAGTTGTGAATGGAATATTTACGTTACAAGCCAGTCTGTAGACTACTTGATGATATATTTTCTTTTTATCTCAGGCTAAGTGTACCTGAACAAACCCCATTCACGGCCGTGCTGAAGTTCGCAGCCGAAGAGGTAGGCTATACACAAGTTATACCAAGGTTTCAGGTTTTTATGAAGTATCAGAGAAAATTCAGTGACATTTATTTTACCAAAGAAGAGAAGTTAGCTGTAACTAAAACCCTTACGTCCTACCTGAAATATTTGAAAAGCACTTTTTATTACTGGAAAATATTTTTTAATTTACCTTGGCAGTTGTGTCATATTTTAATTCCATAAATTAAAATATATAATCTGACACTTTTTGCATAAGATGTTATTCCAAACAAAGAACTATTTGCATTTCACATATTCTTTCATTTTGAAGTGTTAATTTTCTTAGATAGAAATTGCAATCTGTATTATTTTTTATCCTTTGTGAGAAGAGAATGATAGTTTCTGCATATTTTACACATAATTTATATATAAAGTTAATTTTCTTGTGATTAAATTTGAATTTAAATTCATACATGTAGCAAGTTTTTTATATCAGGTTAATCTTTTATTCTAAACAAATTTGACATAAATATAATAAATGAATCGCTAGGTTGTTTAGATTACCATTTACTCATGTATTCTACAAAAATGGTGTTTTTATTTACATTGTAGTATTGTACCGGTAGTTAAATTGTAGTACATGTAATGGCTTATAATTTAACTTTGTGAAATTTTGTTTAAAGATCAGTTAATATTTTCAGTTCAAAGTACCCCCTGCTACCAGTGCAATTATTACGAACGATGGAATAGGAATCAACCCAGCCCAAAGTGCAGGTTAGAGCATATGTCCAAAACTATAAAAGATACAACTGTTTTTAGCATTTTGACCAAGATATAAAATAATTTTCTTGAAAATTCCAGTCTTATATAAAAATATACCCTGGTAGATTGATATGTAATTTCTTTTGTACCAGGTATATTGTTTTGTTTAAAGATCACAGAATTGCACATAAAAGATAAAACATAAAAAATTCTGTTATTTACATGTATTTTGAAGATTTGTTAAAATTTAGTTTTAATTATCAAATTCTTAGTGTAATTATCAAATGTAACATAAATTTGCAATATACATCTATATATAATTCCTTAATTAATTCTGTTTTCTTGTCTTTTGCAGGAAACGTTTTCTTAAAACATGGATCTGAATTGCGTTTAATACCCAGGGACAGAGTAGGAAATCACACGTGAATTTAAGTCTAGTCTAGGTCATTTATTTAAATCATCGCCTTCATTTTGTTTACATGACACAATACGCCATCAAAACTTCCAGTAATAATCATACAGCCCAAAGTTCCAATAGTAAAATAAACCATCAAAACTTCCAGCAGTATTTATCAGCAGGTTGATAAGGCATCTTCGTTGTTTATTCTCTGGATTTTATTTATTCTGACTCTCCCTTATGATATTCTTTGAAAGATATGACAAACTGTGTTCAACGGGTTTTATATGATATATGTATTACATGTGCATGCATAAATATTATTGCCTAGTTGATCTTGACTGGTTAGTGAACAATGTCTGTATTATTCCTGTAGGAAACGATCATTTATATGTGAAAATTTTAATCATTTAATAACATTATCTTTGATTTAAAATCTTTTGATATCTCTTGTCAAATGAATGTTTTAATTAATTTTAATTTGTCTATTTAACTTTGCCGTATACCGGTATTCCATCTGTAAGAATGTTATAAATGTATGTAAAATGCTAAAAATTTGGATTAAAATTTTATGAAGAAAAACCAATGATACTTTGTAAAATGTTTCAAAAATATTTGACACATGAATTTGTAAAAGAACTGATTTTAAAATAAATTATAAAAAGATAATCATTAAATTGTTGGATTTTTCTGGCAAACTTAATCCGCCAGAGTTCTCCAATATGTATAAATATCTTACCTGCTAAAGTAAAGTTTCACAATTAAGTGTTCATGTATTTGGGGGGTAAAGGGGCCTAACTGCTGCCTACTCAAACGTGACAAACTTCAGATGTGGATCCAGCTATTTTTGAAAGGAGGGATTCCAGGTCAGTGCCCCCAAATCTCGTGCATAGAATCACACGACAGGCACTTCCAACCCAACAGCAATGGTTTTCAAAGGGTACATCCAATTCAAAGCTTGCATACTAAAACTATATGGATACAGCAAAAGATTATTCTCAGAAAAAGTGAGCCCCCTATCCCTGCATATTTTAGGTACATATAAAACCTTTCTCTTCATTGATTAAAATATCTCCATAATATAAGGTGAGGAATATTTTTCTCATGCATGTTTAAGTTAGTTACTTCAGAAGATAGTCAAAATGACATAGCTTCTTCCGATGATATCGAGTGAAACTTTGCGTATTATTTATGGATGGTTGTACCCGGGGCAGGGACAGACAAATAACACAGAGAAAGCAAATATGAGAGTCTATGTAGCGAGCAGAAAGGGAAAAGATTAAACCACTTAGGCATAAGAATATCTATATTACAGAAAAAAGCATTGACATTCTCTCTCCGCAAAAATAAAGGGGTTCCAACCCCAGACCCCTCCTCTCTGGATCCACCAATGAATTCACAAAAGTCATGTTGGTATATAGTATAGAAATTAATTACTGTGTGTGATCACAGGTGCTTAAGGACAGGACCCTTGTTGTTTTTATATACAGAGTGGGTTGAACTTTTATAAACTATTTGTTTTTTTTTGTAATTTTTTGGGCTGTTGGTATGGATTGAATAACAAATATGTCACTAAAAGATAGTTTATAAAAAAAAAATAAAAAATCCCGGGGGTCTACAAGAGGGGAGGAAGGGGAGTCCTGTCCTCAAGCACCTGTAAATTGCCCCTGATGTCTGTTTTTCTCCTTGATTTCAGTCAGTACTTAAAAATCACAAAGACTAGACTGTATTAAAAACTGACTTTAATAAAGTTAAAAAAACAAGAGGCCCATGGGCCACATCGCTCACCTGAGCACTGTGGCTTGGAAAAGGTAGAAAATTGGTTTATTACTGAAAAGTTTTAATCCAAACAAAGTCCCATGACCAATCATGGCTTTACTATTCTTGAGAAGATGATTTTTAAAGAATTTTTCTATATATTTCTATGTAAAACTTTGGTCGGCCATTGTGGCCCCGCCCTACCCCTGGGGGTCAAGATTTGAACAAACTTGAATCTACACTACCTGAGGATGCTTCCATATAAATATGACCAATCATGGCTTTGTATTTCTTGAGAAGAAGATTTTTCAAGAATTTTCCTATATATTTCTATGTAAAACTTTGGTCGGCCATTGTGGCCCTGCCCTACCCTCGGGGGTCATGATTTGAACAAACTTGAATCTACACTACCTGGGGATGCTTCCATATAAATATGATGAATTATGGCTTTTCTATTCTTGAGAAGAAGATTTTTAAAGAATTTTCCCATATATTTCTATGTAATACATTGGTGGGCCATTTTGGCCCCACCCTACCCCCAGGGGTCATGATTTGAACAAACTTGAATCTACACTACCTAGGGATGTTTCCATATAAATATGACCAAACATGGCTTTGTTATTCTAGAGAAGAAGATTTTTAAAGAATTTTCCTATATACTTCTATGTAAAACTTTGGTTGGCCATTGTGGCCCCGCCCTACCCCCGGGGGTCATGATTTGAACAAACTTGAATCTACACTATCTGAGGATGCTTCCATATAAATATGACCAATCATGGCTTTGTTATTATTGAGAAGAAGATTTTTCAAGAATTTTCCTATATATTTCTATGTAAAACTTTGGTTGGCCATTGTGGCCCCGCCCTACCCCCGGGGGTCAAGATTTGAACAAACTTGAATCTACACTACCTGAGGATGATTCCACATGAGTTTCATCTTTCCTGGCCCAGTGGTTCTTGAGAAGAAGATTTTTAAAGATTTTTCCTATATATTCCTATGTAAAACTTTGGTCGGCCATTGTGGCCCCACCCTACCCCCGGGGGTCATGATTTGAACAAACTTGAATCTACACTACCTGAGGATGATTCCACATGAGTTTCATCTTTCCTGGCCCAGTGGTTCTTGAGAAGAAGATTTTTTAAAAATGCCAATAATTTTTCACTAATTCATAATTATCTCCCCTTGGAAAAGGGCGTGGCCCTTCATTTGAACAAACTTGAATCCCCTTCACCCAAGGATGCTTTGTGGCAAGTTTGGTTGAAATTGGCCCATTGGTTCTTGAGAAGAAGTCGAAAATGTGAAAAGTTTACGGACAGACAGACGGACAGACAGACAGACGGACGCCGGACAAAATGTGATCAGATAAGCTCACTTGAGCCTTCGGCTCAGGTGAGCTAAAAATCTGCAGCAAAAATATTGTCTCTGATTCATGAAGTACATGTAAAATGTATATTCAAATCATTGCACATCATTTTGAAGTAGATTGTAAAATATGCATACTAATATTCTAAGAAATATGTATATGCTTAAGGAATGTTCACAAAATAACAAACACTAGCAGTGACCTTAAATCTAAATATGTAATAAATTATTTTTATAAAAATCCCATTAAAAATGCTAAGTTAAACATTTGTGAAATGCACAATGTCAAAACCTGGTAAATATGTACATGTAAATCCATTTTCCACTAGATAATAACAAGAAAATAATTTCTCTCCTTGTAATCATGTCCTCCACTAAGCACGGTATTATGCAAATTTATTGGAAGATCAAAGGTAGATAACTTGAGAAAGCTCCTCCATGAGATGAACTTTTATGGCGATTTGATCCAGCTGGCGATGTACTTTTTTTCTGTGTTTCGAGCCGAGATAACGTCTGGAGTGTCAGCTTTATTTGAACCTCGCAGATCGAGATGATGAGCTCCGTTAGGGATCACTATGGCAACAACAGATTCAGACTGAGATTTTAGAACTCCTCCGGAGGACCAGGGATCCAACAGACCATTGCTAAAACAAACGGTTCACAAGCCTTGTAGAAGTAAAGGCAATTTTACACTAGTTTATTTCATATACTTTCCAATAAAGGTTAAAAGTTGTCAGTGAAAATATTTTATGTCTGTTACTTTTGTTTTTTTTTATTCTTCATCATTATGAAATTATTGAAGAAAAAAAGAATGAAACAAACTTTTAATTTTATGGGTATGTTAATATCTTTAATACTATAAACATAAATATTCTATTGAGAAGAGAAGGAAAAAGTTTGGTCATAGTACATGTAATTGTATATTTGAGCCAATTTTGCATTGATTAGTTACTGACCTAAATATGATATTGGATGTAGAAGACAAGTTTCTGCCCCAGTATTGTGTTTCCAACCAGTTAATGTCTGGCTTTACTTTCCAGTTTTTGAGACAACCCTTGGTGTACGCATTGAAGTCCCAGGCAGATTTCTCAAACATGTCCGTCTTACCATTAGAGCAACTTGGGGCCACCATTTCTGTGCAGGACTACAATATTATGTTAAATTTTAACAGACCTGTAATATTTTAATAACACTTTTATAACTAAATGCAAGAACATGCAACAAGAATTTAAAGAGATTGGCCAAAGTTGAATTAATGGTTGCAAATACATGTACATCCAAATATTGTACAATCAGCTTCCTAGCAATCATTTAGCAAAGCATATTCTTCTATAAATATAGCTGAAGTAAGATATCTTGTACACCAATATCTTGAATACCTTCGATATGTTTAATTTAATGTAAAGTCCCAAGCATATATTTTAAAGAATATTACCCTCAATATCTTGAATCCTTGAAGATCAGAATAACAAAGTTTTACTGTATTATGTCTAAATTTGTGACTTTTATAAATTATGCTATCATTTGGTAAAATTATATACCCAAGACACAAACTGACTACAATGTAATACCTGGTAGTCCCACCCTGAGGTTCCGAGATTAGGAGTGGCTTGACCTGTGATATCAAAACAAGGTGTGGTCCCTGTATAGTTAAAGTAAACATTCATAGCTTTCACTGCACCCCGGATCAAATTGTCCCCACTCAGTGGAGTAGACATAGGATGGCAGGCTGCCTGAAAGTGTATGCAAAGAACTATTTTTAATAATTAATGATTATATTTTCAACTAAACACTTCATTTATCATTTATCTCACAATTGAAAATTATTCATTATGAATGAAAATACAGTTACACCCTTTCTGCTGTTTGCAAAAAGGAGACAACTTGTTACAGTTATTACATGGAGACAACTTGCTATACATGTAGTTATTGCAGGGAGACAACTAGTTACAGTTAATACAGGGAGACAACTTGCTACAGTTATTACATGGAGACAATCTATTACAAAGGAAAAAAAAAACTTTCGTATTTTACAGGGAGACAACTTGATACATATTTTAAAGAGAGATGAAAACTTATAGACCAATGAGACACTAAATGTATATTAATATAACAGATATATACCGTGACAGGCCATGCTGGTAGGGGAGCCAGAAAGCTGGAGGTGAGCTAAAAACTTACGTACTTTTTACAGGAAGACAACTTGATTTTAAAAGAGAGATGAGACGGATAATCCAGATATATACCATAGGGGAGCCAGAAAGCGGAGGGATATCCACCATGGCCAGATATACAAGGGCGGACTGAATCCAACCCTTCAGAGCCCCCACTTCATCCACACTCTTCAGAGGTCTACACAGGTGAAACATCTCTGTTAGTTTGGAGAGACCAGCAGCTAGGAGAATGCAAGGTATCATTGTTTTAGAGTACTAGAGACATATTTAAACTTGATTAGGTATATATTAAAATTGTAAGTGTTGTGTTTTTTATACATAAGTATAGTTTTTGATATTACATACATCTACTTGAAGTTATAAATTAGACATACTTTGTGAAGCTGAGGTGTCCAGTGTTTTCCATAAAGCTCTGAAATTGTCTACACAAGCTTGAGAAGATTTCCTGAAGGTTTCAGTGACCGTGTAATCAAAGGCGTCACAATCAGCATCTGCCAAGAAGGTCCAAATAGGGGCTGAGGCAGCTATAGACCTAAAAAACAGAGAATAATAGTAAATATCATGTTTTATGGCTGTCAGCATCTGTCAAGAATGTCCATATCAGGACAATGCTGCTAATTAAAAGATCTATATGAATTTTTAATATATTTTCTCCTACCCTTGAACAACATTAGGATACTTCATTCTAAACCATGCTGCTAGCATCCCCCCATAGGATCCTCCGAATGCTATCACTTTGCTGTTTGCGGACCCTGGTATGGTAGACTTAAGGTGCTGGATGAGAACAGCATAATCTGCCAGGGCCTGCTCTGAAGTCAGATAGTTCATTTTGGCTGGGTCCTGTAAATAAATCACCATTGTTTTATGCTTCATATCATAGGTAAAGACTTCCATTTATTATGAATTGTTTTCAGGAGAAATTTAGAACAATTGATCTTCCTATGTTTTAATTGAATATGTTGAAGATAAATCAGATAAAACAGAAGAATTCTGCTATATAAACTGATCGATGCACTTGTTCCTTGATTAAACAATACACAGTAAATAACAATTAAGTGAAAGGCATAAAAGTATATAAAAAAAGTTTTTTTTAATTGAGGAAGGCAAGAATCTCTGTCCCTTGCTAAGGGATGTACAACCTTAGTACATGTAAATATTATACCTTAAAAGCAGATGGTCCATAAGGAATAGATGTACCATAATATCTGTGCTCAGCAAATATGATAATGGCTTTAAATTCTGGTGCAATGTCCCACATAAAACCCTGAAAAATGCAATAAATGTAAATTCACTTAAGAATAATACTGTTAAACATGCACAAACTTCAGATAAGTAAATCGTTCTAAAAAATGAAATAATCTTAAGAACTGTTCCTGTTATACTGGAGAGACCAGCTGTTGCCTTCAGGTTTATCAGTTCTATCTCTACTTCAAACTTAACAAAAAGACACTATAAACCTACTGTATTATTGCAGAACAATGTAATGTCCCCCTCATTCCCTGTGTAGAAGAAAATTGGTCCTCCATTTTTGTCCCAAAATTGGTCTGCTATAAGGTATCTTTGCTGGTATGTGTCTTTGTTTACAAAACCAAAATGATCAACCTACAAAAAAAGCTTCAAAATGTCCAACAAAAAAATCTTACTACCAAGTTAATGAAGGTATACAAACTTTCATCACACGAGACTGGTTCAAATAAGCTTAATAGCCAAAACCAATGGTTGAATCAATGTGGCATGTGACAGTATTTTAATAGTCATTTCATTTTCTACTTCCTAGATTCATAATGCATGAAAAAAGTCATATAATCCAATATAATGTAATCACATTGATGTAACCTTTTAAAATCTAATTGCACTTTATCTAACATATTTTATTTTGTTTATTGCTGATTTCAATGTAAGAGTGATGATTTATTAATTAATTTCTTATTAATCAATAAATATCAAATTATTTTGTATTTTATTTGTATGTATTTCTATTTCAGCTTATTAGATAAGTGTATGGTCATTCAGGTGTAACATATAGTGCTACCCTGTTATTTGCCTTTAGGGTTATAATTAAGGTCCTGGCCATATATAGTTCCATAAGTTCTTTATTTCTACTGGGTTTTAGTTTTGTGTTCTTGTGTTTTATTGGTTTGTTAAATTCCCTCCCAAGGTTCCTGGTTTTTCTGGTCATTCTTTGTTCACATTATTTGTAGAGGGGTCCTATTGATTTTTGTATGGCAGAATTTGATCTACCGACTGAGACTCTCTTCATCTTATGGTAAGCTTATATCTATTTACTATTTTAACATATCTATAATATGGTTAATTAAATGTGAAATCTGTAATTCTTGCAATATTAATTTCCATAGCACTTTTGCTGCGTTTTGCACAGTAAAAAAGAGATTTTGGAAGTTAGATATTTTACTTAGCTATTAGAAGTAAAGCTAGTGTATTTAATGATCCAGATTATGTGTACATAATTAAGTGTTTTATGATCAGAGAATTATATAACGTCTATGATAATTTATAGTTATCATCTGGACTCCCAGCCATATACTGTATGATAAACCATGGTATGCTATTGTTTTTATGATCTATTGTTTATTAGTAGAAGGTATTATAATGTCTATGAAGATATTATAGCTTTAACAGTAATATATATTTTGTTGTAAAGTATTTCAATTGTATACACAAAGTGCAAATTCTAAGAGAATATTGTATTATGTGTAATGAATATAAGAGTCACCTCCCTTTATGCAGCATTGTGTATAATATTGTATTGTGCAATAATGATTTTATGATATTTTCAATATTGTTTTTATTTATTTCAGGGCAATAGTTCTAGTTCTATTATTGAATAAAAAGTACGAACCCTAACAGGTTTTTTGAATTCATTATTACCATCAACCCTGTTACATCAAATACTGCAATGAACACATATTATTTTCATTGGATTGTAAAGGAGAAAATGTATACACATGAATCAATCCTGGGACCCATAAATTAATTACTATGTATACAGTCAACTCCTCTAGCAAGATTACTGTTGATGATGATTATATATGCGCACAAAACTGATACAGTGGAGTCGCCAATTCCGGGTCGTCTCCAATTCCGGGTCACTCGCGTGTATTTTATGCCTAGTGTTAAAATTTAAGCGCAAAAAACTTATTGAATACTCTGGTCATGAAGAACTGGTCTTTCTGTATGTAATTATAATTACAAAATTTTGAATATCAACTTTAAGAGAGCATCCGACAATCAAAATTCTGAAACGCACGCATTAAAGACTTTGGTGTTTCTGCTGCGGTGACGGGCTACTTTCGTTTTTGTTCGCTGCAGAAAGGCTGATATAAAAGTTCTAGATAAATAATAAGAGCTCGAAAGTATGGTAAATGCATTTAGTTTTAACTCAGAAATCAATCATAATGATCGCTGCTTAAATAAAATTATAATGATTATTAAATCAAACTGTAGTAGTTTCTCCAATTGCGGGTCACGCAATCTCGTTGCATGAACATGTCAAAATTCTATGTACAAAACCAATCGACAACCATATGTCTTTACCTTGATTATCAAAAGTATTCTAACTGGAAAATATTTTTTCTAAAAATTATAATCGAGTTAACCCTTCAAATGCATTTGTTTTTTAATAAATGGACTTAATTGTATTATTTTTAATCCTAACACATTTTTTAATTCTGCATACTGCAATTTGTTTTGTTGTAATTGTTTTAAAAATAATTTAAACATATTTCTGTGATTGTTTTACTTTTTTTCCAAGCTGCGTGAATCGTTTTATGCTTCAACATCATAAAAATTGTGTTCCGAAACATTCCATGAATATTACACGACTGTGAACTCACATGACCCGGAAATGGAGAAAATGATTCGTAACTGGGGAAGCTAGGCCTTGCTGAAATACTTCTGTAAATATTGTTCCCGTGTAGCTACTTTGAAAACGAAAATGTGTTAGGATGACTCACTATTTGTTCTTTCAATACACATATTGCATAAAATATAAATTTAACAGATTTGCAAAATATTAACAAAACACCCAGACGTGACCCGGAATTGGCGACTTCACTGTATTGGTGAAAATTATCCCTCTTCTTCATCACCGACCTTGTGCATGCTAGATTAACATAAAAAAAATTATAGACAGCCAGGCAGCATAATTGCACTTTGTATAGCATTCTATTATTCAGTTAATCTGGTGTACATTTTCTAAAATATAAGCCTACATAAAATAATGTCAATGATATAAATAATTTCAGAGACATGAATAACTTCCAAGCTTTTTACCCCCCACCCCTCCAAATAATACAGATCATGTGAATATGTATATTTCATGTAGTGTTGGCATAACCAGACTGGCAGACATAAATAACAAGTTACATTGTATTTATGTCTCTGGCATAACGATATGCTAAGATGCCCTTCAAAAATATACCTTTTGCGTGAAGTACTTTGTTTTGTAGTTATAGTCCCCTTTGTATGATCTAAAAACCTCCTTCTGAATGTTGTTCGTCTTTATAAGTATACAGTTGACAACACATGCACAACAAATAAGAACAACAACAGGACAATGTTTGATGTAAGCCGCCATCGCCCGATCATGTGATACAACTTATCATGTGATATAGGCTATGTGACGGAAAATATTTTCCCGAAGCCGCAGAAATAATGAAATCTAGATCCCATACAGGTGGTATGTAAAAAATATGAGACTGCGGAATAAAAAAGTCCCCTTCCCTCCACAAATAAATAGATAAATAATAATAATAATAAAAAAGAATGTTACATGACAAACCGGAACATTTTGGATCGAATTTTAGTTTAAATTTGCTGACGAGCACTTCCGCTTTCAATCTCTCCAAAATGAACACATTTCTATCCAGATTGAATACAATATTTGCCTTCACGCTCAGCGTGATGGCAGCATTAACGTTTTGCTGTTTTCTTACAACAGCATTTAATTCACACAAAACATCGGTCTACCTTGGTACAGGAAAGGCGATTGTGTAAGTATTGAAAAAAGCATAAAGCCGGTAGCATATGTGATGTATTTCCTCCTCATTTTTATTCTCTTTTAAGAAGTTCAAGGCTTAAAGAGAAAGCCTCACAATATTATTTGTTTGTAAGCAGTAGAACAATTTTTAGCAAGGAAATATAAAGGTTGAACTGAACGTCTGGAGTCTTTGTTTAAAATTCCTAACCTCAACAAATCTCACTGAGATACTGTAGATTGACAAATAATCACGATGGTTTTAATTTCACTGTGTTCGTGATTCATCATGTTTCCGCGAAATAAAACCCATTGTGAATGCTATCATTAACTAATGGTTAAATGCTTATATGGAATTTTAATTAATTTCTTGTAGCATGAATTTAAAACCATCATGATTGGTACTTTTTGAGAAATCGTGAAATTTTAACACGTGGAATCAAAACGACCTACAGTAATTAAACCTTTAATCTGTATTGCTGAATCAGACACCGAAAGACCTAGACCTGTCTACATTCACATACTGATAGGATAAAAGAAATAAATCTGTAATCATGTAAACTTTTGTGGTCAATCTTTAAAGTTGAATATTTTTATCATGCTCATAATCTCATGAAATTAACATTTGCTTACTCTTACAGAAAAAATGTTCCTGACTACAGTGCAAACAGAGAAAAGAGCGATCTAGGCTTTGTTGTCTTTGACATGACAACTGATATCCTTTTAAAAATGATAATTAGATACATACTTTTTGCATAATCATATAACAGAAAAGGAGTAAAATGCATACATGTATGACAGGACTGGGAATTGAACCCAGGCCAGCTGCATCACTTGTCCTATACTCTACCTTCTCACTCTCGGTTCCAAGCTGTCCCAGTTAAAAAGAAAAAACCCTAGCTTTTCCCTGCATCCATAAAATGCAGGTCTTTGCTCTTAAATACACACCCAAGCTTTTATTTGCCCATAGTAGGATTTTCACCTGCAAGTTCATGGGTGATCAATATAAACACAAAATTATGAAACAGGGAAGGAGAAAATTATGGCTTGACCAGGAATCGAAGCTGAGCTGTTTGGTCAAAGGTGATAGAATCTGCCTGGTGGTCAATCCCCTCATTTCAAGGTCTTTGCCTCCAGCAGAAACCAGCACAGACTCTACCCTTGCTCTGTTGAAGGTCTTTAGCCTAACACATCATGATTAAAGTACAAATAATATATTAAGAATGGAGAAAATTTATGGTTAGACTTGGAACTGAACAGGGGAACCTTGAATCATTAGTCAGATGCTAAATCTACTGGGCTATCCAGACTGATATTCACATCTCAAACTGTTAAATACAATAAACATGTATATATTATAATGATGTGGACAACTTAAAAAAATCATTTTTTGAAAGACAAAAATATAATGGGGTCTCAGAATTCTTAAAAATAGTTAAATTTTTAATGATTTTTTTAGTTTCAACTTTAAAATATGAGTTATTACATTGTTTCAGAAATTTTATCTATGCAATTTAGTATTGTTTCTTAATTTAAATTCCTTAATTAAAAGCAGATTTAACAAAAATATTTAACTGGAATGTAAAACAACTATTTTTATACCTAACAGCAGAATATGAAACACCAGAGCATGTAAGTGTACTTCTGTTTATCTCAACTGCCATTGGTGAGATTTTCAGCAACAATATTATAGCTGATGAAAAAATATTTTTTCTGAATTGTTCATAAATAAAACTCAAGTATTCAGGTGTTTTCACTACAAATATTAGTAATTAAATGCATGTAGAATGAACATATACTTATTGTAATAAAAGCCGAAAGAAACCCTTACTATATGCACTCATGTAAAATTGATATAAATTGCAAGAAAGTTAAGAAAATTCCTCAACATCATTGTTTCAATGGCAGTACTGCTTATCAGCTTTTCAGATTCTTATCTTCTAGAATGACATAATTGATGAATATGAAAACCTGATTTTTTTTAATTTTTTGTTTCTTGTACAGAAATTAAACCAAGTTGTAATTTGGGACAAAATTATCAGAAGGGGAGAGAACTCCATGCTGGATTACAGAAGTATCAATACGAAGTATTATTTCTGGGACTATGGGAATGGACTAAGGTGAGTTCAGTAAATCTTATCATCAGTTTTCATGCTGTTTTCTCTTAAGCTTCACATCGTTATGTTTCATTATAACACCCTCCACCCCCCCCCCACCCCCACCCCTCAATTAATGTCCATTTATGTGTGATATTGCCCTTTTATGCCATTTTGATCTTAAATGAGTATACACTTTCTCAGCACATAAGAAAGTAATGCATTCTGTAAAATGGGGAGACAGCTTGTTGTGAGAAATGAAATGTAAATCATTTTCTGCAAACAGATCACATTTGTTTAATTTTGGTTGAATTTTTATTCTCCCAAATAATGCTGAAAAAAATCTCATGGGAAAATGTCTGAAATACCTTAGGATTACAGAAAACAATCTCACCTGTTGTCAGATTGTCACAGTGGAATATTTATATTACTTGACTGGCATGTTTAAAGTGCTGAATGTTGTCCACTTGTATTTGATTGTGTCATATATGGAGAGGTAACCTGGCAGTATGAAGCTCAGAAAGGAATTTAAGATTAAATTTAAAAAAAGAAAGTTGTCTGAAAAAAAGACCTTGTCTGCTGCATATGTTTTTCTGGTGCAAGTTGTGTCTATCATTTGTGAACTTTTACCATGCATGTTTGACTTGACTTGATGTTAATTCAAGTCACAACTGACTTCTTAGTATGTTACATATAATTATAATACATTACTACACAGTATTGATTTTACAGGGGGAATAAGAACATCACTTTGACTCTGTCCTGGAATGTCATTCCCAATGCTGGCACCCTACCCAAAGTAATGGGAGACGGCTCACACAAGTTTAAGTTTCCAGATGAGTACAGTCCAAATCGATTCTAGTCCGGTACGTAATGGAGGGGGTTCACAAGGCAGCGCTAGACAGATCTGTATGGATGGCTGGTCTAATTCCTAGTTATATGTAAATGAAGTGCTTTATTTCATGGAGGCCATTTTGTAAAATTAAAAACAACAAGAGGTTATGGAAATGATTTTTTTTTTAAAATAGAAGATTGTTCAAAATGATTTTTTTAGAAAATAGAAGTCAAGTTTTGGTATTTCAAAGAAAAATTTGAATACATGTACTATGATTTATTTGTATGTATTTAGTGACTTTTCATGAGAATGTTATGAAATTTAAGTGTAAGAATGCTTTGTGAGTATTTGAACTGTGAAGCTGTACCTCAGGTGATGGTATTGTGCATGGTGTTGTCATTATTTGGTGTGTATGTGAGTAAATAACTTTCAAAGGAAGTGATTTTTTTTGAGAGAGAGGGAGAGAGTGAGATAAAAAGCTTGATATATTAAACCTTATTCATGTTTGTGGAAAAGATTGAGTATAGGTACATGTTTTGTGTTCATTATATTTAGTACCATCAAAGTTTCAATGATGAAATGATTGATTGATGCAATTTATGGAAATACATGTATTGCCTTGAATTGAGAATTTGAATTTGAAGAAAAAATGATTTACACCGTATACCTGATGAATCAAGAACAAGTATTCAAATGTAAACTTTATAAAGGAATTATTCCTGAGACATCAGTGTACACATGTATGTATTTTATCGAGATTGTTTTCTATTCATTTACTGTGACTGAAGAGAACTTATATCTCCATTTCTTATGTCAAAGTACATGTACATTATAGCAGTGTATTAGGACCCTAAAGCTATCAAAATTTTTGGACTTGCAAATTCTTCCTAAAATATGCTTTGGGGGAAGATGGAAGAGCTCATATGAAGGTATTCCAAGTGTGAAAAAAATAAAATGTTTATGTATCTGAAAAAAAACCTAGTGTTTATCATTTGTATTTCATCTCTCACCCAAGATCAAAATATCAGACTATTCCAAACTTTTCTTTTTTACGATTTTGATATTTTATGTGCCAGGCAAACGTTAGAACTGTGAATGGGTGCCATTACAAAAACTGGAAATTTGTCTGTCTCCATTCCAACCGGAGTTGATTTTCAATACTTGCGAATTAAATGCCGAAATCACAATTTATCAATAGTACAATGCTTCTACCAGTAGTACTCACCAATATTGGTGAAAAGAAAACATCACCCTACATTTGGCATTTTAACATGCAGGAAATGAATAAGCTTGACTTTGTATAATTATTTTAAAAGCTACAATGTAGCCATAAAAATGTTGGTGAGTACTAAAAGTATTATACTATTGATAAGTTGTGATTTTAACATTAAATTTGCTTCGCACGTCTCGAAAATCAACCCGAGAATGCCGCCTCCAGTTGGAGGTGGCGAATTCCCAGTTTTTGTAATGGGACAGATCTGACGTTTTTATGGCACGTAAAGTATTAAAAACCTGTGAAAAAAGCCAGAAAACGTCAGATATTCGGACCACTCTCACCCACGAAGGAAAAGAAAGGCTACATGTATATCATGTAGTTTATATTTAACAAAAATATTGCTGGAGTACATGTATACATAATATGCGTGTACTCAATAATCCAAAACAGAACTGCATTACATATCTATCTGTTAAGGCTCATTCATGGTTGTAATGTGACCCTGTCATTTGAAACAACTTTGGAGTAAAGATTTACTTTGAATATCTTAAATTCTCTAAAATTTTGGGCATTGTTACGATGCAGCAAGGAACGGGGTTCGGTAGCTGTAGACATCAAAAGTGTAATACATTGTATTTGATCCAGAAATGATTTGACAGTCAGGATTTGACTAAATAAAGCAGTTTACGACACATTTCTCGTAAGATGAATCCACTGACAAAGTTCTAGGTTGTACTTCGAGCTAGGAATGGACACAAACTGCCAAAGTTTATGTACAATCATTTTTTCTCCAATTAAATGGAGTGTTGGCAACCTACTTTTTTGATCACGAAACACTTTTGATTATGTAATATTAATTTTTGTTACAGCCCTTTCCTCCAATGCAACAACAGACCTGGTGTAGTGCAATTCTCTGTTATCTTTGGACTTTCAGTAAGGCGTGATATTCTCGATACTCCTAATTAGCGTCTGAAATTTACACAGCCTTTCATTCACTGAAATATACATATGATAGAATTCGGACGAATGTCAACAAGTGTAGCAATGATCCAATGACAGCATTTCGTACGACATAAAAATGGGGTTTAAGTCGTACGTCTCATTGTTGTCAACAACAATTTTAAAAAAGTTGCTATAATTGTTATTAATTTCTTAACCAATGAGAATCTATTCGCCATTTAACTTAACCTTATTTCTTTCCGTGCCAGGAGGCACACAAGGCCTGGACATCTCTTTTCCACTGGGGCCGGCCTGCGTACAGTGTTCCATGAGGTCCAGCCAGCATTGTTTCGCTCCACCTCCACCTTATATTGACAAGTTGTCTTGGGGCGACCTCACTTCGTTCTCCCTTCAGGCGTCCACCCGAGGGCCACAACACAGTCATCCGTTGGATCCTTTCTAAGCACATGGCCGATCCAATTCCATCTCCTCTTCTTTACCTCGCCACTGATGCTTTCTACTTCTGTCGTCTCCAGAACTGTCTTGTTTGGGATATGCTGCTGCTATCTGACATTAAGGATCCTTCTGAGGCATCTGAAAGATGTCAATCTTCTTTTTCTCTGTCTTTGTAAGCTTCCACCTCTCACATCCTTTTAACAATACAGAGAGGACCAGGCTCTTAAAGAGGTAGACTTTTATCTTTCTTCTGATGTCTGTAGTGTTCCAGATGTTAGCAAGCCTCCTGAAGGATGCACCAGCCATTGCTATCCTCTTCCTGACGTCAGCAGTTCCTCCTCCACCCTTAGTGACATTGTCGCCGAGGTAGGTAAAGTTGTCCACCTCGTCGCCTTCGCTGTTTCCAACTGTCAGGCTGCTTTCACTCTTGCTATCTATCTTCATCACTTTGCACTTCTAGGCATTCAGCTTCAAACCAAATTTTGCGGAGTTTTCTTCCAGTTTTGTTGTTTTAGACTGAAGATGGTTCATTGCTGATGACAGTAGGGCAGTGCCGTCTGCAAAGTCAAGGCCTTCAAGCGTAGTGGTGAAGTTCTATCTAATTCCTGTTCTCTTTTTTCTGACAGTCTGTTGCATCACCCAGTCTATCACTAGGAGGAACAAGAAGCCTGACCTGCGGCATCCTTGTTTGACACCAGTCACCACAGGAAAAGGGTCAGTAGTCTCGTTGTCATCAATCACAGAACACTGAAAATTGTCATGCAGGGCTTTGACCATCGTAATCAGTTTTCTGGGTATTCCATATTTTTTCATAATGACCCAAATGCTGTCTTTGTGCACCGAGTCGAAAGCTTTCTCAAAGTCCAAAAATGGATGTACAGTGTAGCATTCCACTCGTTGACTTGTTCCAGGATGTTCCTGAGGATGAAGATCTGGTTGACAGTCCCTCTCCCTCTCCGGAAACCTGCCTGCTCTTTCCTTGGGGTGCGGTCAACTCCAGCCTGTATTCTGTTGATGATGCCCTGTTGAGTGCTTTGCTGGCTAAGGGCAGCAATGTGACTCCCCTCCAGTTGCTGCAGTCCTGTAAGTTGCCTCTCTTTGAATTTTACAGATCAGTCCTCTGGTCCATTCTTTGGGCACCTTTTCCTCCTTCCATATCTGGTCAAAGGCGTGCTTCAACTCCTGGCTGATCTTATCAATGTCTGCCTTTAACATTTCTGCAGTTATTTGATCTGCTCCAGGGGCCCTCCCATTCCGAAACGTCTTCAGTGCAGTCCTTATTTCCTGTGTGGTGGGTGGATCAACCGAGATGTCCTTCTCTTCTTCCTCCTCATGTTCATCTTGTGGTGTTGACTCTGGAGTGTCCCTGTTGAGTACTTCTTCAAAATAGTCCCTCCATCTGGAAAGCATCGCTTCTTTATTTTTCAGCAGTTCTTATCTTTGCTCTTCACCGCTGCTGTTTGTTTATTTCTCTTTTTTGTCAGCTGCTTTGCTATGCTGTACAGTTCCTTCTGCTTCCCGTCTCCTCTTGTCTTCTCTCGCACATTTCTTGACTGCTTTGTCATATGCATATGCCGAGGAGCACTCGGCGGGTGTGACCGGTCAGCAGGGGATGCTCACTCCTCCATAGCACCTGATCCCACCTCTGATGTTTTAGAGGTCCGTGTTTGCTCTGCTCCTATTTTGTATTGTTCTATGGATTTTGATATTGAATACTGTTCGTTATATCCATATCCTTCATTTTGCCTTTCCTGTAGCCAAGTACTTCTGCTGCTGAGTTCAAATATGCTATCTTCTGCTGGTCCCAAATTTTCTCGATATCTTCAGTCTTTTCTCTGTGCTCTTCTTATTTCTCTCTCACGCAGTCATTGAACTTTGCTTTTACTTCTTTGTTTTTGAAGCATTCTACATCCAATCTTGGTTTCACCTTGTTCTTATTCTTGTGTGTGCTGAGCCGTAGCCTGATTCGGGTCTACACCAGGAAGTGATCGTTATTGGCATCCGCTCCCTTCTGAACTTTGGTGTCAGAACAGAAGATCACTGTCCACTGATGAGAAGATGGTCAATCTGGATTTTCGCTGTTCCAGTAACAGACACCCATGTTGATTCGTGTAAGTTTTTGTGGGGAAACAATGTTCCTGTGATTACAAGTTTGCTGGTCTGACTAAATTCACACAGTCTTTCTCCATTTTCGTCCTGTGTTCCCAGACCATGGATACCCATAGTTCTTTCATATCCATTATTGTCACTTCCTACCTTGGCGTTTAGGTCCCCCATGATAATAATTAACTGGTATGTCGTTCTTATTACATCCATCCAAAGTCTCTCGTGACTCCTGATAGAATTGGTCTTCTCCTCCTCTTCCTTTTCATTATGTGGCGCATATGCTTGGATCACTGACACTCTTCTGTATCTTGAATAGAATTGTGCTGTCATGATTCTCTTACTGACGGGTGTTCATTCCATGAATGATTTCATTGCATGCTGGCTGATCATTATGGCAACTCCTCCCTCGTGTAATTCTTCATCCCCGCTGTTTATGACGGTCTGGTCCGGGACCAGTCTCATATTACCAGCTCCTGTCTATCTGCACTCACTGATTCCCAAAATGTCCAGCTGGTATCCTTCCATCTCTCTCGCAATCTATGCTGAAGCTCCTCCTCCTCTATACATTGTTCTTACATTCCAGTGTCCGATGGTGAATGTTTGGGTGTCACAATGTATCTAGCTGGACGTTGGGCTTCCCGAAGGCTTTCACCCTTCGTCGTCTTACTGCCACTATTGGCGGTCCCTACTTCACCCGGTCTTCTTTGCTCTTCGGTATCTATTGTTTCTGTACATGCTTTTTTCGGGAGGAAGTAGTCGGCCTCTTGCCCAACCCCCAAGCTTTGAGAAACAGTAGTTTTCTGTCAAGGTGTCCTTACGGTATGCTGCGTTGGTCCACGGCACCTTCTTCTGTCTATCCGGTGCACCCCTCATTTTGTGAGGGATCCCCTATACGCCACCTGGGGGACGCCATTTGAGAGACTTTAATTACGTAGCGCCGAGAATATCACGCCTTAATGAAAGTCCAAGGATGACAGAGAATTGCACCAATTGCTCTAAGCCTTACATGTATGTTCTCGGACGATTTGACTAATACAAGAAATTTTCCTATCTTGCTTTTTGCTATCAACAAACTTACTTTGCTAAGAAATCGCCCTGATTCTACACACAAAATATTAAAAAGATGCTGGAGATCCTCATCTACAACATCTAAATAGTCTTCGGAGATTAGTTCTCTTTCAAATAACTGTTTGAATTTCAACAGGGATTAATTGTGCTTATTTTGGCTTACCTGTTTTTATATTTTTATACAAAAACTTCTAAACGAGAAGAAAACACTTGCTCGTGCCTTAAAGTCGACATTGATAAATAAAAAAAAAATTAATTAACAATTATTATTTCCATTCATATGTCGACTCAATATACCCCGGATAATTTGAGTTAAAGAATAAGGCATATGGTGTTAATTACTCCAAACTATTCGATACTCAAGAGCATGCTCCGAGACGATAAATTTTAGCCAACAACATTCAAGCTCAAAAGTTCATTTAACAATACAAAATTGGAGCAGAGCCAACACGGACCTCCAAAAAATCAGAGGTGGGATTAGGTGCCCTGGAAGAGTGAGTATCCCCTGCCTGTCACATCCGCCGTATGCTCCTTGTCATGATCGGAAAAATCCGTCGAATATAATTTTTAATGTGTATATTATGGCCTAACAATTAGTATGAAAAACGCCAGTCAGCATTTGACTGAAAAATTGTATTTGCTCACAAGGTCATTGTTTCGACCATAGAACTTACGAAATAATGAGTTTAAACGAGACTGCTGATATTCTTGTTTCAGCAATTTGTCTGTCAATATTTTTAAAAATTGTTCTTGTGTAGAGCATGCTCTTGCGTATCGAATCAACTGAGTGATATAAACCCCGTATACAGGTGACGAAGATATATTTTTGCATAAATAAGGGAAGTTGATGATGAAAAAGTTAAAGTAATCACGTTTATCATAGAGTTTTGTTGTTAGATAACCATTAACGCCTTTTTCTGTATAGTAAAATATCTAAATATGAAACAGATGTGGCAGACTCGTGGTATCTTTTAAATAAGTAAACCTCGTTTAAACTCTGCATTTCGCACATTATATGCATATGGCCGATATTATTAATAAAAAATCAAGTTGTTAGCAAATATACATGTATTTGGTGGTATTTTGGCTGACTTGATTAATACCCTTTGTTTTTATACTAAATTTGACTACAGAAAGTTCCTTCTATCTCATAAATACATAGGCTCACGGCGCGTGTGACAAGTCAGCAGGGATGTTTACTCCTGCTAGTCACCTGATCAGACCTCCTGAATTTCCATGGGTCCGTGTTACATGCTCTCTTGGCTATACATGTAGATTTTTTTTAGATCACTGTTTGTTCAATTTGTTAGGTATTAATTTCTAAAATGCGGCCAAGATAACTTTATTTTTCATTTCCGAAGATGGCGAAGAAATCAATTATCCCCCTCACAAAAAGTATGACGCATATGTTTCACGGAAAACGACGAATCTCATGTCATAAACGATAAAACAAGAGACTAGATTACAACTGATGATATTTACTTCTCTTACGGTAGAAATTCAACCAGTTTTCTTTACTCATTTAAGACAATGAGGCAATATTTACTTTAATGTGATTATGGTGTATTAAATTTTCGAACAGAAGGATATGCAATCTGTCTCCTTTCAACAATAAACGAATAGTAATCACATTTTTTTACCGGGACATACAGAGGAAATGCTTTACAAGGTTTTCATCAATGGATAATTGTTACAAATTTTATTAAATTTAAACTCAAGAGTAAACAAAATCCATTTTACGATGACAGTCTGTAATCAGATTAAGAATGGAGAGATCGAATTTTCGCCCACATGCAAGACTGGATGGAGAGTTTCTAGCAGTAAATACTACCTCTGTGTTGAGATACCGATTGATTCAAAGCATTTTTTCAGTTTGTCCAGTCAATTTTCAAAGTAATCGCTTTTAAAGGTTACATCTTACATTACAATTAATATTTTTGTTGATACTGATTTTTTTCTCCGTGTAAAATCATTGTTTCAAGAATTTAATGAAATAAAATATAATATTATGAACATTCATATATATTTTAAATTTGTGACTGATCTTGTCAAAACTTGATTAGTAGAATTTACCTATCTCAATATATCACTTTCATGATTATGCTTACTAGTTCTTTGATTAAAGAAGATGGGCGTATTTGCCGTGTGATCTGCAGAAATTATTTGTACGAAACATTTATGATTTAAATGTCGATGGTTTGGTTGGCTGACCAAACATGTACCTGGTACCCAGTCATAGGATTTTTTTCATTTAGTTTGAAATACCTTGTCATATTGTAATATTGATGACCGTTTTCCTTAGGAGGTACAATAACATAGTAATGCTTCAAAAAAAAAAACAAAAAAAAAAAAAAACAAAAAAAAAAAAACAAAAAAAAAAAAAAAAAAAAAAAAAAAAACAAAAAAAAAAAACACACACGCGACAAACAAAATAAAAAAGGAGCTAGTGAAGGTTTGATTTTAATCAGACAGGATTGTTTGCATTAAAATAAAATATAACGCCTTATAAATAAATTTTTACCATCTAGTTCACGAAAACAGGTAGCCCATCTTACTGAAATATGACTGCAACACATACAGCGGTTTTTAAAAGGACAAGAGGCGCCATATTTATACATTTGAATTTTTTTTTTTTTAAATTTGATTTTTTATGGCATCTGGGTCTCATCTCTATTTGTTGCAAATGTTTGTCCCATTTTTTGAATCAAAATGCACACGCATAAAATTTCAAAATCATGGAGAGAAGACCCATGCAGAGATAGAAAAAATTTAGAAAAACGTGTTTAAAAATATACCATTTTGTACCAAATGTCGAATCTAGCCAATTTTCAAGCTTTTTTTTTTTTAGCAAACCGAAACTCAATTTCAAGAAAATATTTTCCTTTCCCATTTCACAGGAACCCGATAAAGAAAAAAAAAATAAATCAAAAATACATAAATCAAAAAAAATGTTAAACTTTCAAGTGACACATCTAAAATTTTCACTTTTCGAGTACGCTTAGATTCCTGCCTAATGCCAATAAAATCCGCCTTCGTTCTTTCTTTTGGCGATTTGTTGGGATAAATAAAATCAACTCTCTGTTCACATCTATTTAATTTTCTAGTTAAAAAAGCAGCAACGCCATGATAAGTCATGACCTCAGGTTGTTTAGATTCAAGTTTGCTCTGCTTCAACTTTGTATTGTTTAATGCACTTTTGAGCTTGAATACCATTCGTTATCTCCATATATTTCATCCCACCCATCCCCCTAAAAAACAAAGAAAGAAAAATTAACACCATCTATAAATTTTAAACTTGGTTTGTGTTTGCTAGTACACAACACCCCATGATAGTGCGTCAAGGAACTAAAATTTGTTGGCCATACTTCTTGTGTAATAAATAACGAGAGATACTTGTAATCTTTTTTTAAAGAAACTTTTTCCATGAAAAAACTTTACCTGCTTCGATTTCTTCGAGTCATAAAACAGTCTTTTTCCATGAAAAAAACTTTCCTGCTTCGATTTCTTCGAGTCATAAAACAATCATCCGCCATATCTGTAGAACAAACTTCCATTTCACAGATTTAGAAATATTCATGAAATGAATGTAGTAAAAAGAATATGTAATAAACTATTTAAGTTAAACCATTAAACTTAATAACGTTGTAGAGTTTATGTTTCTCAATCTATAATGAACAATCAGGGGAAGCTTTAGATACATGAACCCTCCGTGGCACCTGATCCCACCTCTGATGGTTTAGAGGTCCTTGATTGCTCTTCTCCTGGTTTGTATTATTGGAATGGACTCTTGAGCTTGAATACTGTTTGTTACCTTCATATTTTATGATGCACTTTTGCGAAGTCCTTGACGCGTAAGCTATAAGAGAAAAAAAATCATTCAAGGTGATTGTTTAGTATCATTGTCTATGTAGTGTTAAATATATTTTTAAAATGGCCCAAAAGTTGAACATTAATATTTTTATGCACAACAAATATAATAAAAATGCTAAGCTCCATTTTAGAATAAAATATATCTAAGAAAAAAAACTGGTAGTTGACTTAAGATTCATATTAGAGAAGTAGAATATGTTTGGCTTTCATATTCCACGTATATAAAATGTTTCAGAAATGTCCTCTCCAAATACATGCATGTATCCTCAACAATGAAATATTGAGATAACAAAAATCAAGCTCAAACTTCATAGAAACAGTATAAATCAGGAGCAGAGCAAACACAGACTTAAAGTATCACAGTTGGGATCAGGTTCCATGGAAGATTAAGCATGCATCCCCTGTCGACCAGTCGCACAGTGAGAACATTTTGTACAACTTTATTTCTACATTAAACGTCTTTTTTTTTTTTAATTAAGATAAAATTCACCTTTTCAGCTCACCTGAGCCGAAGGCTCAAGTGGGCTTTTCTGATCAAAACTTGTCCGTTGTCTGTCGTTGTTGTTGTTGTCGTTGCCGTCGTCGTCGTAGTCGTTGTTGTCGTTGTAAACTTTTCACATTTTCATCTTCTTCTCAAGAACCACTGGGCCAATTTCAACCAAACTTGCAACAAAGTATCCTTGGATAAAGGGAATTCAAGTTTATTCAAATGAAGGGCCAAGCCCTTTTCCAAGGGGAGATAATTATGAATTAGAGAAAAATTAATGGCATTTTTAAAAAATCTTCATCTCAAGAACCACTCGCTAGGAAAGATGAAACTCATGTGGAATCATCCTCAGGTAATGTAGATTCAAGTTTGTTCAAATCATGACCCCCGGGGGTAGGGTGGGGCCAAAATGGCCGGTCAAAGTTTTACATAGGAATATAAGGAAAAATCTTGAAAAATCTTCTTCTCAAGAACCATTGAGACAGGAAAGATGAAACTCATGTGAAATTATCCTCAGGTAATGTAGATTCAAGTTTGTTCAAATCATGACCCCCCGGGGGAGGGTGGGGCCATAATGGCCGATAAGAGTTTTACATACGAATGTATAGGAAAAATATTTTAAAAATCTTCTTCTCAAGACTCACTAGGGCAGGAAAGATGAAACTCAGGTGGAATCATCTTCAGGTAGTGTAGAATCAAATTTGTTCAAATCATGACTCCCAGGGGTAGGGTGGGGCCAAAATGGCCGATCAAAGTTTTACATAGGAATATATAGGAAAAATCTTTAAAAATCTTCTTCTCAAGAACCACTGGGCCAGGAAAGATGAAATTCCTGTGCAATTATCCCAAGGTAGTGTAGATACAAATTTGTTCAAATCATGACCCCCGGGGGTAGGGTGGGGCCAAAATCGCCGGTCAAAGTTTTACATAGGAATATATAGGAAAAATCTTGAAAAATCTTCTTCTCAAGAACCATTGAGACAGGAAAGATGAAACTCATGTGAAATTATCCTCAGGTAATGTAGATTCAAGTTTGTTCAAATCATGACCCCCGGGGGTAGGGTGGGGCCATAATGGCCGATAAGAGTTTTACATAGGAATATATAGGAAAAATCTTTTAAAATCTTCTCAAGAACCATTGAGACAGGAAAGATGAAACTCACGTGAAATTATCCTCAGGTAATGTAGATTCAAGTTTGTTCAAATCATGACCCCCGGGGGTAGGGTGGGGCCAAAATGGCCGATCAAAGTTTTACATAGGAATATATAGGAAAAATCTTTTAAAACCTTCTTCTCAAGAACCATTGAGACAGGAAAGATGAAACTCATGTGAAATTATCCTCAGGTAATGTAGATTCAAGTTTGTTCAAATCATGATCCCCGGGGGTAGGGTGGGGTTATAATGGCCGATCAAAGTTTTACATAGGAATATATATATAGGAAAAATCTTGAAAAATCTTCTTCTCAAGACTCACTAGGGCAGGAAAGATGAAACTCAGGTGGAATCATCTTCAGATAATGTAGAATCAAATTTGTTCAAATCATGACTCCCGGGGGTAGGGTGGGGCCAAAATGGCCGATCAAAGTTTTACATAGGAATATGTAGGAAAAATCTTTAAAAATCTTCTCAAGAACCACTGGGCCAGGAAAGATGAAACTCCTGTGGAATCATCCCCAGGTAGTGTAGATTCAAGTTTGTTCAAATCATGACCCCCTGGGGTGGGATGGGGCCATAAATTTTTACATAGGAATATATATGGAAACCTTTTAAAATCTTCTTTTCAAGTACTTCAAAGCCATGCTTCGTGATATTCATAGGGAATCATCCTCAGGTAGTGTAAATTCTAGTTTCTTCAAATCATGACCCCCTGGGGGGTTAAAATTCAAGTGCCCCCCCCCCCCAACCTCAGTAAACTTTCAGTTCTGATCTGATATGTGCTTTTTCCTAGCCAATTGCTCAAGTGAGCGATGTGGCCCCTGGGCCTCTTGTTTAGTATGTCATTTGAGTTATTTGACCCCATGTCTTGAAATTTCAGTCAACTTTTTTCATTAAAAAATACTTTTAGCTGACCAGCCATGGATTCATAATAAGCTTGATGTAAGAAAAAAATACATTGCGTGTATAGATTTTTAATACCAAAAATATGGTATTTTATTAGTGCAAACAGTCACCAATAGTTTTTTTTTTCAGGGAATATATTTTATGTATACTTTTTACATAAAATAAGATTATATTTATTGAAATTATAACACTGGATATAGTATGATTGAGAATAAAGTGAAAATATAAAAGTTACAATTTGAGTGAAAAAAAAATTGAATGAATTGGTGAGTATTTAGACAAGCTCAATGACACGCAAATTTTTCAAGATCTTTAATGTAACCATTGTCAGAAGTGACAACCCCCCTTTACATATAGTGTACATGCATTAATTTCTTCATTTATAATCCTAGGTTTAAGATTACAATAAGAGGACATAATTTACGATGAAAATATAAAGGAAGTATTATTTATGAAGATAAGAAACAAGCAACTAGTGATCGATTTTCAAAAAATCTACAAAATCATATATTAAAATCCAGTTCCAACGTTAAACATATTTCTGTCTTTAGGAACTGTTTCATATTGAATAGAATAATTATCCTGATATGGAACAGAAGAAAAAGTTCTAGAATGTTTGTGGAGAAAGGGCTCGCAATGAAGATAAGATGTTACATATACCAGACTTAAATCGATTGTTATGATACGATTGACAGAAAACCGTAAATCACTATGACCAACAGATAATATTTTAACAATTTCTCTTCCTGTTTCGACCTCAGAGGACAGTAAGTCATACAAGATTACAGTCTATATCAGTTACAGGTGAACATGCTTTATCTGGACAAAGTCCTTTTTAAATGAGAGGCCCGTTTGATAATCTTCACTTTAATTTTTGTCAAATAAAGTTAATCCATTTTCCTTCAGCATACTTAAATTAAGATAATTAACAGAATCCCATCTGTTCGTAATCAAAGATGATATGAATTAATTAGCTATTATCAAGAACCACCAACAAAAATCATTTCCATTTCATCGATGCATTAGATCTTTATTCTTTGATGATGTAAATCCATCAACATTAATATGCAAAAAATGATAAAATGTTAAAAGAATTCGGTTTTACTTGTAATGGCATTTTACCCAGTAGAATCACAGTGGGTCAAGGTTTGGTGAAAAGAAAATAGTATATAATGTTTCATACAAATCCATTTACAACTGACAAGTGTTCGCGATCAGTTCTTTATCTGAATTAATTATTAGACATTTTTCGAAGTAACGTTGATACTTTTATTCACTGTAATTGAATTATGTTACGTTTTACTGATGGTTACGGGGAGTATTTTTTTTAAAGATTGTGCGACGTCAATCACTCCCCTTCGTTGCGATACTAATTTTAAAGCAGTTGATAAGAGTATTTCTAGCCGTCATGAGTGTTTACATGTAATCTTTTCCCAGTGTGAAACTCTTTCTACATGCCGTGGGTAAGTGTACGAGAACAAAAAAGTACTTTTTACACGCCGTCATGACTAATGTCAACAGGACTGACCATGTTGATTCAGAAGACTTCATTTTTAACGTCTCGACAATATTGCCTCCCGTGTCACTTGACAACGTGACCAAGGATGAGCTGAACACCTCCTCTGTGGTGTCGTCCGACACTTATGTTAGTCTCCTAGAAGATGTCTCCAGCTACCTTTGGGTAATACTATCACCGATTCTTTTTATTGTCGGTGTGACTGGTAACGTACTCACAATTGGCGTCCTGAGGCAGATGAAGTTTCACAAGAAACCCCCGTTTTTCTTTCTGTTTGTATTAGCTCTTAGTGACATTACAGTTCTCTGTGTTGGACTTAGCAGGTACTGGATCAGAGAAACATTTTCTTTAGACATTCGCGCTCTGACTAATTTCGGATGTAAGTTTAATTTGTTTTTTATCTATTGGTCCATGCAGTTATCCTCATGGATTCTTGTTTGTGTTGTTTTAGAGCGCTGTATAAAAACTAACTTTCCATATCGCTATCCTAGAATAGTCACCATACCAAGATGTATAGCCTTGGTAATTCTACTTATGATTATCCTAGCTGGAGTCGACATGCATTATTTCTGGACAAACGGCTTAATTTCAGATGGATCAGAACTGGAGTGCAATTCTCTGACGGACGCATATTTCAATTTTGAAGAATTTGTCTTCACCTACGTGGACTTCACAGTTTTGTCTGTGGTTCCGTTTGTATTAATGATTGTGATGAACGCGACCATAATTCGTGTGATTCGACAGTCAAGACAATTTCGAAAATCAACTGTTCGTAGCAAGAGCACGAATGAAAAACTGAAGAAATTTGATGTAAAATTGACCAGAATGTTAGTATGTACCAGTGTATATTTCCTTGTAGCTACTTTACCAATAAGTGTCTACTTTATCGTGGATTCTTACCAAGATGAACTGACAGACCTGGAAAGTGCAAAACTGGACGTCGTTTGGTCCTCCTCATATCTCTTTCAGTTCTCAAATTATACAATAAACTTCTTTTTGTACAATTTGATCAACAAAAAATTCAGAAACAAATTCATTGACCTGATCAAATGCAGATCACCGAAACAGAAAAGGTATGTACCCTTCTCTGTTGTTTTTTCTACTGGATTCAAATTTGATTTAAGCATTTTTTTATGTTGTAAATTTGAATTCCCGGATGACAATTCAAAATTTACAAATTTCGAACGGTGAATCAATTTTTTTTAATTTAACATTATATTGAGAATACAAAATGCTAATATTTCAGAAAAGTGAATATTTTAAGTAAACTAGAGAGTCTTACTATATAAGACTGGTATATATTTTTTTAAAAATAATTTATCTTTTGTGCAAACTGGGTTATAACACATCTTCATTTTTGTGTATTATTTAACAGGAAATCTTCTAAGAACGACTCTGTGTACAGTGTACAAACGGCAGACACATATATTGGATCAGAGACAAAAGATTCTGAAGAGATGTCTACAGGGGAATGAAGTCCGATTCCTGACACAAATATTTTGTTCCTTTTTCATGAACTTCTCACTGAGAATATAGATGTTGTTCTAATGGAAAAGAAAATTATTATCGATATACATTTTTATCTTGATTAATTCTCTTAAAGTTTTTTGTATATATTACGTTATGACAAGCATAATACTATGTATTAATGTGTTTTGTGATATATATATATATTTGTAAATCTAGTCATTTTTTATTGTGTTGTATCAAACCGTTTTTCAATGGAAGCTGAAATATGTACTACAATGTAGTGTATTCATTTACAGCTCAATTTTTTACAATGGGCATAAGGAAAGGGTCACAAGAATACATCACACTGATTTATTTTTATCTGAAGAGATTAAATAGAAATAGGACGTCATACAGCTATGAAAACCCTTTACATGAATTCTCGGAAATCACACCTTAGATAATGAAGACTTTTACATATCTTAAAATCCAGAGAAGAAGCGTTGTATTCCATATAAATATTGAATTTGTTGAATAAATATTTGTTATTCTGATATTGTATCTTACAGTTTTCAACTTTGTATCGTTAATTAAACTATATTTGAAATACGTCCTATGAATAAATACAAGTAATTATTACTCTACAGTGTTGTTTGTAAAGAAATTTGTAAAAATATATGTTTGGCTTTTTCTTTGTTAATAAATGTTAAGAAAACTATATTATGAGTCACCTTCTAATAAAAGAAATGAAATGTGTTTATTATAATTAATTCCTCTCTCCTTACACTATATCTATAAAAAAAAAATCCATATGGAATCTTTAATTTTATTTGTTTGAAAGATGCAAGATAAATAAGACATGTAACACTTATTCACCCCTTTTTAAAAACCTTTTTTCACCTTTTTATTACTAACCATTTCGAATAAATAACATGAGGCTAATGATACACATAACAATTTACCTTTTATACCTATTCATTATATATCAGGATGGACGACTTCAAAATAGGTAAACCCTTTTCTTTATAAAAGCAATATGTAAATGTTTTAAAACAAACATCAGGAGTTAACCATTGCTTATCCTGTATAAATAGGCGAAAATATACAACAGTAATTTTAAGAACTTTCAAATTTAAAAAAAAAAAAAAATCAACAGAAATATCTTAACAATATGCTTTATTCAGAGTTTTTACAAAAAATAGTTACATATTGGAGATATATTTTCTTCCATGCAGAACAAAACACGAAACTAAATTTATTCTCGATAATTTACGCCAGCAAACTAATAAAACCCATAGATCAATGTTTTCACCTGTGCATTGGCTTTCTTAGAGTGCAACTGTGTAAATAATGAAAAAGAACTTGAGTAAAGATAAAAATTTTCTGGGTATATCAGATTCTATTTATCACTCGGGACAATAGCCACTTCCTTATTGAAATAACAGCTGAATATACGTATTATTTATTGGGCAACCAGTGGATTATTTGGAGAGAGAGAGACTTCTTGAAATGATAAAAACGGAATCTAAGAGAAAGCGATGCACGTCAGAAATCGATACTAATGTATTGGTTGATATATTGCTTTACCAAAAAATTGGGTGGCTAACGTGCAAAATGAACATGACTCCAGCTGAGTTACCTCATATAAAAATAAAATGGATTTTTTTTAATTTCATAGAATTAGTATTACAAAATATTTTTTTATTACACATCACAGAATGCTTAAAGCGTTAATAATTAAATGATAGTATTTTTTGTTTTGTTCTTTTACTTTGTGTTGGGGAGATGTCGCTTTATGCCTTTTTTTATCATATTGTGCTATTTTGTCTCTTTTTTCAATAAAAATTGGTACATTTAAAAAAAAAAAAAATGAAACGGGTGTTTAGATTTGATAAAAATAAATATCTGTTTATATCATTCGATCATCAAATATTAAGTTTAAAAAAAATCTTTGTGTTTTAGCTGTTTTATCAATGAAACATACGGAGATAGCGAATAGTATTCAAGATCAAAAGTCCATAAAACAATACAAAATAGGAGCAGAGCAAACACGGACCTCCGACACATAAGAGGTGGGATCAGGTGCCATGGAGGAGAGAGCATCCCATGCCGACCGGTCACACCCGCCGTGTGCTCCTTATCATGATCGGGAAATAACGGAAAAATCCGTCGTCAATTCAGAGTATAAATAATGGCCTAACAATTAGTATGAAAAACGTCAGTCAGCATTTGACTCAATGATGAATTGTATTTGCTGACAGGTCATTGTATCGACCACAGAACTTACGAAATGATGACTTTAAACGAGACAGCAATATCGTCATATGCATGGACAAACCTAGTGGCTTTACAGATACACAATTCCTTGTACCAAACATACTCATTGTCTTAAACACTTGATTTATTTTAGAGATTTTATAATTTTTTAAGATGATAATTTAAAAAAAAAATGCATCAAGACCATTTGGTTTATAAAAGTAAATAATGAATTAATCATGTTTATTAATGTATTATCATTTTTAGGTAAAAACATCGTTCATGTATGTCTTCCCGTTGTGTTTAGTCTTCAATTCTTTTTTTGGTGTGTGTTTGTTTTTAATTTGAAAACTCTTATCAGAAATTAAAGATTGATAATTTCTTTCGTAGAATGAAAATTCACATGTACTCATATGAAAAAGTTCATTTTTAGTCATCTGACAACTAGAATTAACATGTAGTTGTATGTTTTTTTATTAATGTGCTGAAAATATAACTAAAGTTTAGTTCTTTATCATATATCGTATATATTTTTTGTGAATTAAAGCTGAAAAATATACTTTTTCTTTCACTTATTTTTATTTAGATGTAAGATGAAAAATAAATATTATTACAATTTTTTGAAATTTAGATCCGAGTTCATGATTGAAAATTTTGTTTGGTTTCTTTTTACCCTTAACTACATGTATAGGTACTGTATATGTAGAAGAGTTATAGAAAAATTTGCTCAATTTACCCGACAACTAGGAATAGGTTAAATGGAATATTTTGAGAATTGCAGTTGTGGCATGCCGAGACGATCAAAAACATGCATTTGCTTTTCAAATTTATTGCCCTTGAAAAATTGCAATGATTTCTATTACCTTATTTTCGTTCTTTTAAAACCCCTCGATATACGAATGGAAATAACTATTGTTAATTGATAATACGGCTTCGATATATCTAAATATCGAGTTGAGGGTCACTGCAAGTATTTCTTATTCTCTTGTATAACATTTTGAACAAATTTTGCATCATATGAATAGAAATATAAACACAAAAACACCACCGAGTAAGAACAAATCAGAAACTTCCGATACACTCATGCTGAGAAGATTGAAAACTTGCAAGGATTGCCGCTTTTATTGCACTTTAGAAACTGCAATGATTTATACCTCATTTTAATTCTTCACAAAAAAAAACTTACCTGGTTGCACGAATTTGTGTGTAAGTTCTTTTTTTGAAAATTTTCGCAGGTAGATATTTTCTAGTTTTAAATTCTAATGTGGAGTAAGATTTTTTTTAAATAGCTTGATTATTTATTTGAACAGCTTTCATAAAGGATCCACCAGATCAATCCAGAGTAATTCCTAATTCTTTGCAGTTTCTATATTTCAAAATATACTAGTACTTTCACATACACTTTTTTTAGATAACTAATCCCTATTTTAGTTATCTGTGGATAATTTAAATAGAAAATAATTTCTTATGATAAGTTATCATGGACAGTACATAAGTTTGTGTCTTATGAAACACATAAACACAGCAGAAATTCCCCTTTTTTGAATACCTTGAATCTTATCAATTATAAATTGATATGAAGAGTGTTATACTGATAAAAAATCGACATGGTGATCAAAGCTATAATTGTAACTAATGGTATTATAAAATAATTTTAAAAATCTTTTATATTAAAGGGAAATTGACCTATGAATGAAGTTATTAATATAAGAAAAATCTCAGTTAAGGGCAGCAAAGAGTTTACCAAGTCTGTTTCATATTTGGAAGGTACACTGATTATAAACGTTAAAATGCCAATTTACTGTTAAACTGTTTGACAAAAGAGATGGCTCTGACTTACTTATTCCTCCTAGACAGCTGATCCTACTTCTGAAGACTTTATGAGCCTTAATTCGCAGGTCATATACCGGTGCAATGACAAAATATGTTCTTAGTACTAGGTCACTAACCGTCTTTACACCAGTAATTGATATTTTTAAATATACAGTATATTGTAGGAAGTTTAGTCCACCTCATCTCATGAGTTAATCAGATCGACTTATCATTACAGTGAACCTCGAAAATATAAGTTAAAAATGAAAGAATGAAATATATGGAGAAAATGAACAGTATTCAAACTCAAACGTCCATTCAAAAAATATTAATCTGAAGCAGAGAAAATACAGACCTCTTAAACATCAAGTTGAGATAAGGTGCCACGGACGTGTGAGCATGCCCTGCTAACAAAGTCATTGTATCGACCATAGAACTTCTGAAATGAAGACTTAAAAGGAAACTGTTGATATTCTCGTTTCATCAATTTTTTTGTCAATAAATTGCCTCGATTTAGAAATTGTTCATTGGTAGGTCATGCTTTTGTGTATCGAATCAACTGAGAGATATACAGGTACACCCCAAGTAAAGGTAAAAACTAAAAAGGGGATTATTGCTGCATATGTAGCAAAGATGACAATTGGAAAGTTAAGATCAAGTCATCACGTTTATCATAAAGCTTGATTGTTTGATGACCATTAACGTCTTTTTTCTGATACAATATCCAAATATGAAACAGATCTGTGTGACTCTGTATTATATTTTATTTCAAGCCCACTGGGAATATGTGAATTGAAATAATTCTTGCTATTTCTAATACTAGTACGTCGTCGATCAATCTATAAATATGGAGTCGAAGACCACAGCAAGTGTTTTCTTTTTTCATTAATAAGATTTTGAATAAATTCTGACTCACATGAATACAAATACAAATTTATACAAATATACAATTGAAAAAATCCCTTCACTGAAAATTTACTTCGCGCAGAAGATTTTTAACTCTTGCAGTTGTGATAAAGAAGAGCAAATCAAGACTTCGTATACACTCAATGTTGATATAATAGAAAACTTAAAACCGCTTTTTAAATTTAATGCACTTGAGAAATCGGAATGATTCATGTTTAATTTTGGATCTTTTTAAACCTTCTTTCATTCTGTAAATTGATATTTTTCTTAAATGATTGGTTATGTAATAATAATTTGGAAGTCTTGTTAGAGTGTAAATACTGTGTCCAGTTAGAAGTAGTGCAGCGCTGTGACTTAGATAACGTTGGTTTAGTACCTGCCCACTGATCAACTTTACATCTAGCACTCGATCATGATCTAATCGTGCAGCTACAACAAAGACAAATAATAAAACGACCCGGTGTAATATATTTACCCTGCTTCCTGATAGCACCAGGACCTCTCGTCGTTTGAATTATTATACTGCATTACACTGAGGAGTGACATTTCAATTTCTCACTGATTTTATCGATGGAAATGTTCATGACTTAATTCACAATTCAATTGGGACAAACTCCATCTCTGATGTTTACTAATATGGTGAATGTGACAGACTTTCAGCACTATGATAATTCAACAATAAATTCAGAATATAATTCTACGGCTGAACAAAATGATTATGAAGAACTGGGTAAAATAGAAGAGTATTTATGGAGAATTCTATCCCCTATGATTTTCATCGTAGGAATAACTGGAAATATTATCATCATTATTGTTTTAAAGAAGATGAACTTTCAAAGGAAGCCGCCATACTTGTTTCTTTTCGTCCTATCTCTATTTGACATGACTGTTCTGTGTGTCGGCCTCAGTCATTACTGGGTGAAGAATACATTCCATTTTAATCTGCGACTGACAGGACAAGCAGGCTGTAAAATAAGTCTTTTTGTCATCTATTGGTCAATGCAATGTTCGTCTTGGATTCTTGTGTGTGTCGTTTTGGAGAGATTCCTTAAAATCAGGTTTCCACTGAGGCACATGAGAGTTGTGACAATACGTAGGTGTGTGCGTCTTATTTTACTTGTTATGGTTATATTAGGTGGTATAGATATGCATCTGTTAATCACAAATGGAATAAAGACGGTTGGTAATGAAACAGAGTGTACTTCTTTAAACAAACGCTATCTACAGTATGATGAATATGTTTTTATTTGGATTGATTTTTCATTTCTATCTGCTCTTCCATTTTTACTCATGATCTCAATGAACATAGTCATGATTCGTGTCCTAAGACAATCTCGCCAGTTCCGAAGAGGTACCGTCTCGGACAAAACAACGACAATCCGGATGAACAGATTTGACAGGAGATTAACAATTATGCTTATAGTTACAAGTATATATTTTCTTTCAACTACCGCCCCTATAGCAATATATTTTATTGTAGACTCTTATGTGAAAGTAAAATCAAAATATATGCAGACAGTAAAAGATATAATTTGGACGAGTTTTTATCTGTTTCAATTTACAAATTATGCCATGAACTTCATTCTTTATAATTTATCAAACCAACGATTCAGGAAAAGGCTTTGGAGAATTTTGAAATTAACGGCACATAATGTCAGGTAAGACACCTTTACTTTTCCTCATTAATGAATACGCAGGGTTTTAACACCGTTTTCCATAGGATAAAATACTTGCGTGTTTGTAAGATCAATTCAAAATGTATGCATTCCAAGAAAATGTTGTGTGGTTTTAAATTCTAATGTGGCTTAAGACGATTTTTTTTTTTAAATTGCGTGATTATTTATTTAAACAGCTTTCATAAAGGATCCTCAAGATCAATCCAGAGGGGTTCCGTGTACAGTGTGGACGTAACAGAAACTTCTTTCGGATCAGAATCTGAACGCGTACACCGCACCAACGGAAGTGCAGTACGCAGCGAGTCAGAGGAAAGCTATTAATTAAAGATATTTTCAAAAATATCAAAATTTGTTTATTTTTATATTAATGATGTTTTCTGTCTTTGGACAAGCAGTTGTCATTTGATGATGAAATGTTAATTTTATAAAAAAAATGCCTAGACATTTATTCTGATATATATAAAATTGAAATTATATACCGCAAAAAATTATCTCATTATAAACTGAACTAAAGAAAATCAGATTGAAGCTAGTCTATTGATTCTTTTTTCTTTGCATATTCATGAATATATCACAAGTCTCTATCTCAAAAAATATACTTTCACATGCACTTTGTTAAATTCATACTTTTAATATCAGGGCATAAATAAGATAGAAAATAATTTCATATGAGGAGTTATCATTGACAATGTATAAATGTCTATCTTATGAAATGTGTGAACTCAGCAGGGATTCCCCTTTTCCGATTACCTTGAATTTTATCGATGACACGCTGGTATGAGGAGTGCTATACTGATTAGAAATCCGCATTTTAATCAAAGCTTTAATTGTAACTACTGATTTTCTATAATTAAAAAGGTCATTTATCTTCAAGAAACATTTTTACCTCAAGGGGAAACATGCCCTAGGATAGAGAATGTTTACAGAAAAAAAGGTCTTAGTCAAGAAACTACAGAGTCAGCCAATACTACGCTGACTTAAGAGGTACGCTGACTATAAAGTTCAATTAACAAATTAAATTTTTTTGCAAACGGGATAACTATAACTTTCCCAGCATCAATTGTTCTTATGTATATGTACCTGCATGCAGTGTCTATGTCTTCCAACTCTCTTTGATACTCAAGGCAGTCTTCTGTGTATTCATTTTTAAACCGAGAGAGGCAACTGGCAGATAAGTTATTTGCAAAGACTTCAAAAAACCTCGTTTAGAGCCAACATTTTGTCTATTTTATTATCTTTTTAATTGCATTCGTATTTTTACTGAAATATTTATTACCAATATATCTTTTTAGTTCTTATAATGCTAATTTTGATTAAGGAATTATATTTCATCTACGTGATCAGTACATATACAGCTTACGGCGGTTGTGATCGGCAGACAGGGGAAGCTTCATCCTCCTAGGCACCTGCTGATCCCACCACTGAATTTTCATGTGTCTAAATTCGAAGCTCTTATGCAAAGACAAATAATGATTTTTGTGCAGGGTCATTATTTTTTCCACCGCCTATAAGTCTTTTCGAAGTTATATAAATCAAACTTCAGCCAACCACTTCAGAAACTGGTCTAATATTCATATTAAGGTATATTGTATTGTACGACATTTAGTTTACCATATCTTCTGCGTCAGTAAGGTCCATTTGAATTGACAGAACATCTAAAATATATTACCAGATAAAAAAAAATCAAAGGACGAAATGTTTTATCGCCTTTTTATAAAATAAGTAACATCAGATTTGTAAAAGATTTGGAAATGTATTTTTTAGGAAAAAAAGTGATTTGACATATGTAAATATTAAATATTTATATCATTCTATACAATCTTGATGTAATTAAATCTTAATGGACCTGGTTAATATACATTTTGTCTTGGTCAGAGACAAAACTAATTTTATGAGATTATATTTGCTGCAATTTGTTGCTTAATGTTATTTATCCTTCTTATGGTTAATTCCTTCCATTTTACAAAATCCAGTTCAGTGGCATTATTCTTCACTTTTATGCTATATAAGATGTTGTACATGTATCTTTTATATATATATATATATATATATATATATATATATATATATATATATATATATATATATATATATATATATATATATATATATATATAATATATTAAGCTCATATCGGAAAAAGAATCCGGGGGATAAGACGCGTCAAGTGCCCATGTCCGTTTTGCAATTAAGCAAGAATTCTTTTTGGAACTATCTCCATTGTTCGAATTAACCTTGTTTTTTTTTTATTGTTTACAGTTGTTGTTAAAATAATATTTATATTCTAAACAATCAAAAATACTCTAATAGTCTATCACAGAATATCTAACATTGGTAGGGAATTCTTTTCTGTAATCTTTATATTGTGTTATCAAGACTTAGTGTTGCGGACATATCATAAAGAATTTGAATTTGTATCTAATGGTAGAAGGTGATCTAGAAGCGCTTGTGGCAAAAAAAAAATACATTTTAAAATAAAACAGGGATAGAGGTATTCCAATAAAATTTTAATTGGTATTGTAATAAAAAGTTACTGTAAATGGGTTTATAATTACAAACATATTTTTTTCAGTGGATATATGTCTTATTCTTATTATAAAGTAAAGCAAAATTTCAAAAATTAGATTTTAAAAAATCAGAGCATGATTCGAACACTTTCCCCAATACAGCTCCTCGCTAACCATTAGAATACGCAGTCCCACACACATGGTCATTTAGATAGCATAAAGTTCTCTGTATTTGGCAAGCGTATTCGGACTTAGAAGTTTTTAAGACCACGGTTAAAAATTTAAGTGCGTAAACTTTTTTTTTTATATCAAGTGGGTCTTCATACCAAATTTTTGCAAGTCTGAAAAGAATCATCTTTCCATTGCCTTCCATTAATCGCTCTCAAAATTAAAGTGCGATGACCCACTCTATTTTAACAATGCGGTTAAAACATCCAATTTATGTCATTTTTGTGAAAATTGAGCGTGGTGCCGTTTTCTGTGTTAATCAGAATCGATTTCGTCGACACAGTACCGGGTTTTGTCAATTTTTTTATGCAAATAGTAATATTCATTCATTCATTTATTCTCTCAAAAAAACCATATACATGGTACAAGAGTTACATATATACATATTTACAATAATTATGGACAAGCAGAAATTACAGGAGGACAGACAGTGTCAAAAAAATTTTTCAATAAATATACACAATTTTCGTAAAAATGCTGAATTACAGAATTTTGTTATATTTGGATGTACATAGTATTTCTGCAACAAAAAATCTTTTCGGATACTATATAATGCATTACATTCCAGTAAATAATGGAATTCGTCTCCTATCTGATTATCATTAAATAAATTGCACACTCTTTAATTTCTTTCAACATTATTCCATCTACCCATCTCTATTGGAAGACGATGGTTACTTGTTCTGAATTTTGAATAGATATTTCTAAATTTTCTTGGTAAAATAGTTAAATATTTTTCACATTCAAACTTTGTTTTAAAAATTCTATATGTAATACCTTTACTGGAATTATTCATATCACTATACCATTTCTGTAAATACTGGTCTTTGAGCTTTTGGTTTATTGTGGTTGCAATCCATTTGACACTACGAAAATTTTGATTAGTCCAAATATTACAGAGCCCCATTGTATTAAGAATATTCTGTATGAAAGATATAAGAAATAAGCATTGCAGAAATCCAACAACAAAAAATGAAAATTGTAAATAATTGATTAATTAATTATTCATCGATCGTTATGTAGGCTCGGCTTATTCCCTCAGATTGTTTCCTTGTACTTTAAAAACTTTTATGGATACCTGATTTGGCGGTACTCTGTTTGACAAAAATGAAAAAAAAAACAAGTTTGGCATTGAATGGTCATTTATTGATAAATAAATAACTAAACAATCAAAATATGTTAACACATTGTATAATTGACAATACGGAACATAATCAAACACATAAGGTAATTTCAACAAATAACATTTGAAAAGGAAATCACTTAAATTTATTCAATAACAATGTGCGTTTTTATTATAATAATGGTACAAATTGTAGACTTAAAGAGAAATGTAATGAATATCAACGCCTCCAGGAGACTCTGGGATTAAATTTCCGATACATAACAACTAGTTGTATCTGTTATGTCAAATGAAGTTTACTTTACATCAAAGATTCATGTATCTACACGATTAGTCAAGCTGTGAATAGTAAATTGTACATGAATCAATTCTCGATCATTATATAATAACAGGTGTTAAAAGAAACCCTGAACCCTAACTGTCAGATCTTCCCGGCGAATTTCATGGTTGTTATAAAATTATAACAGTACCTGTATCGACCGCTTGGAACGTGCAGGTGCAATTTATTTTTAATTTTTTAAAAAAGATCTAAGGAATCCTCTTTCGATGAAAAAGGAAGATATGCAAAATAATAAAAATATCAATAAAATAAATAAATGATAAACTGATAAAAAAAAACAAAAGAACAGAAGAAGCTTAAAATAACTATAAAAACACACATTATTTTTGATTTAAACTAACTCTTGTCCAAATAAGTTTAAATTACTTTTGAGAAAGTAAAAACTTTACACACCATATTTGAAAAATTGTTGTTTTTTCAAAATAATTTATGTGTAAATAAAATCAAGATGTAAACATTTTGGGGTGCGTGTTAATCTGTTATTTAGGTACAGTCTTTCGAAAAATTTCAAGAGTTGTGTAGATCAAGGTTAATATAGAACTTACAAACAAAACAAAATAGAACAACAACAACAACAGCAAAAACAACTAATTCGTACAAATACTGAACTATCAAAAATATAAGGTCAGTATATATCTCAGTTGATTTGACACGCAAGAGCATGCTCTACGTATGAACAGCTTCTAAAACGAGGTAAATTATGATAAACAAGTTGATGAAACGAGAATATCAGCATTCTCGTTTAAAGTCATCATTTCGTAAGTTCTTTGGTCGATACAATGACCTCGTCAGCAAAATTAATACAATTTATCATTGAGTCAAATTCTGACTGTCGTTTTTTGTACTAATTGTTAGCCCATTATTTATTCACTGAATTGACGACGGATTTTTCCGTTATTTCCCGATCATGGTAAGGGGAACACGGCGAGTGTGACCGTTCGGCAGGGGATACTCTCTCCTCCATGGCACCTGATGCCACCTCTGATGTTTTGAAGGTCCGTGTTTACTCTGCTCTTGTTTTGTATTAATTATGGACTTTGATATACAATACCGTTCGTAATCTCCATATCCTCCATTATTTATACACTGAATTGACGATGGATATTTTTCGTTATTTCCCGATCTTGACAAGGAGCACACGGCGGGTGTGACCGGTCAGAAGGGGGTTCACTCCTCCATGGCACCTGATCCCACCTCTGATGTT